GGTGAAATCAAAGCTCTCCCGCTATGTACGTTTGTAAGCGATTGCAGGCTACAAACAACAACTACGGCGACATACTAACAGCATATTTTGTAACATCTGCGCGATCGCCCTGTAACCGCATGTCTGTCTGTCTGTCTATATGTATGTTTGTGTATGTATGTGTTGTTGCGTTGTGCTTTTTCACCTTCACTCTTATTGGAAAGCAGTTAAGTTAGTTGGTGTGTGCGTGCGTGCGTGAGTTAATGTATGTCTTCAAATTTCATGACATGCATACGATCGCACTCACACAGAGAGACAAAAGCACGCGATGAAGGTCACTAAGCCTTTCTTGGCTTTACTTTTCGAAGTTTCGTAGTATTAGTTGTTGTTGTTGCTGTTGTTACTGCTAATGATGTTCATGACGACGAAGATTGGATCGCCACGAACCGAAGCTCGCAGCCAGACTTAAATACGATCCAATACGAAACGAAGCGAGCTTGGAATGTTTTCAGTTTTCTGTTTTCTCTACCACTATTAAGTTAGTTTCTGACCTTGGCTGCTTTGTGTGCTTAGGTGCACAAAGAGACAACACACAGCACACGTACAACAACTAAAAAAGATACCTAAAACAACATCACATCTTTTTATCTGCATGTTTCGCGTCTCGCTCGCTCGCTCGCTGGCTAGGCGATGTTGCAATGCAAATGATGAAAACCCAACTCACCTCTTTCATTAAGTTTGTTTTCAGCAGTTGGTTAATCCCAAGACGAAGTTAAGATTCCAGCTTTCGTTCCTCTTTTCACACAACCTGCCGATTTTTCACGTTCTTTAGGTTTCTTTTAGTTCCTGACGTTGCGCTCTCACCCACACCTTTCATCGATCATTTTTTGCACACTTTTTGTTTCGTTTGCTTTTGGGGGATGTACACATTCAGTTTAAGGAAGGGTAATATTCCTCGGTTAATTCTTGATCATTTTTGCAGGGCATCAATTAAGCGGAATTTGAATTTATCTTTTTTTTACTTTTGGTTTTTCCTGCTTGCACTGTTACTTTTGCTGCTGCGCTTCCTCTTCTGCTGCGACGCAACGAAAGAAACCAACTACTACCACAGAGACAGCCAAGTCCACAGCAGTACCACTACCAATACCAATGCACGCGATCACACACACTCACAAAAGTTCACTACAACAACATTAACTTTAACTAGGTTGAAGTTTTGTTTTTTTGTTTTTGTTTTATTGCGAAATAAAAAACTTGATTGGTAAAACTTTTTCTGGCGCGAGCGCGGCTGCGAGAGTGGGAGATCCGATCTTGCCTCTCTTTCGCGTTGCTTTTGCTTTTTCTGCTTCCACTTTCAGTTTGCTTTGCGCGCGCGCAAGTCTCCGCAAGCTAAAATTTCCCGATTTTTGGTTTTGAAACACAAACGAATCAAACGGTACGGATGTCAATTTTTTTCTGAGCAAAACAGCTGGATTACCCGAAATAAACAGCTAAAAAAGCTCAATTCCAAGGGGAAAAAGCTAAGAAGTAAGCAGATTTTAAAAAATAATCTTTTTTTAAGTATAAAATATTAAATCGGTCGGGACAGACGCAGTTTTGTTTTAAATCAACGCGCAGGCACAGACGTCTCCGATCGCTACCCAAACTGAACTGAATAACGAACTGAGAGATACGAACGAACGAACTACGAACTGAATACGAACGAATACGAACACGAAGATGAATGCCTCTTTCCATGATACAATTATACAAGGTAGTCGCGTCGGAAAAATAAGCCCTAGTTCGGCTTATCCAAATGTGCCTAAAACCCGAACGTTTGGGACTACCTTGTATAATTGTATCATGCCTCTTTCTTTCTTACAACTTTTGTAACTCACCACAGAGACTGCGATCGGCACTGCTGCTATGCCGCCCAATTCAAAGTGAATTTTATCTGACATTTAGTTTTTAATCGAAAAGCTTTTGTTACTAAATTTAAAAAGATAAGTAAGTTTTTCTAGACACTCTAAATGTAAATATCTATTTCTTAAATACTTCACCTATTCCTCTTTTGACGGCTTCTTTAAACTTATTTTTAATATAGTAAGTTACTAACTATGTTAGCCTTTATTTATTATTATAATTTGTATTAATATATTTAAAAATCCAAAGGCTTTAGCGTTAGGAAAGTAAATACCAATGTACATGGATATGTATAATTTTTCTCAAATACAAGAAATGTTATTAAATTTATATATAGTTCATATAAAAATGTATATATAAAAGTAAAAAAAAAACAGGAAATAGGATGTATGTATGTATTTAATGGCTCTCATGGCTCTTTCTTTGCCAGAAAGATTTCACCAAGGACCTTGATCCAATAAGTTGCCTTCCCGTTCATCCTTTCATTATCTACTTCCATTGTATGGTCTTAACGATCGCTCATTTGAAATGCACACGCCGCCTGCATTTGCATCCTACCCTTTTTCTATTACTTCCTTCATTACAAGCACTTTCGTCCTTGAATCTAATTTCTTTCAGTGGGCCATAAATGCACCCACACACAAAGGAATTTGCATGCGTATCTAAAAGAAGCCTTCGAAACACATGGAAATTTTGTTTAGTCTTATATTATAAATAGTCAAAATAGAAAATATGTTGTAATAAGTACTATTTTAATTTAATTTAACTTAATTTTTTGGAAGAAAATCTATTTTATTTTTGTATTAACTGTGCCTTCAATCATTTGCATATTTGTATCCTTTGCCCGTTGCAGCATGCAGTTGCAAAGCAGTTCAAGGACACTGTTAATGGGTTTCTTTTATGGGAAAGGGTATAAAAACAATTCGTAGGTGACGAATGGACAGTCATCGTAAACAGGACATTTAATAGGATAATCGAAACCCAGCGAGATGGTCAAGGTCTTTGGTGAAATCTATCCTTATCAATAACAACAAAAAAGTATTGATTTTCTGTTTGCATAGATGAATGGCCAACTCTCTCTCAGTTCCTTGAACATTTGTTGCGTTCTTATGGTAGTATTTTAAGGAATATACAAAAAAAAAAGGTCTATAAGGAATCCCAAAAATATGATATATGAAAATAAAAAAAATATATGTGAAAAAGGGTATCCAATCTTCGAAAGCTTTTCCAAATTGAAGAATATCGCCTGCCAACTTGCGATTGCCGCGACTTATCGATAGCCAGTGCCAACCGCGAACAGCTGAACACAACGCAACGAAAAGCGAACCGACGCGACAAGTCCGAAAAGAAAAGAAAATATCTCTTGCAAAATGAGCCTGCAAAACGTGTGCCGCAAGGGAAATGCGTTCCACCTGTTGAACGTCTCCAGGAAGCGTGAGTTTTTGCCACCCAATATTGCCCACTATAATTTCCAAACTATTTGGACTTTGCCTTTGATAATTCATAACGATGTGCGGCATATTGAAGAGGAAAGGGACAAAGTCCAAACTCGAAAGTGGCAGTGACGTCTGCGATAATAAAAGATTTCGGACCAGGGAACCAATAAAATATTAAAATAAAATCATTACAAAAAAACATTTTTTTCACGGTTTAGTTAAACTAAATATTTCAAAATCATTATTTTTACCCAGTTCAATGCCGGGCTTTATCGGCGGCCGTGGCTGCTCCACAGCCCAAGCAAAAGAACAGTCAAAACATCGTACTGGTGGACGGAGTCCGGACGCCTTTCCTGACCTCCGGCACTGCGTACTCCAAGCTGATGCCCCACGAACTGGCCAGACACTCGCTCCTGTAAGTAATATCTAATTTTCCAAAGGTTATTTTTTACGAATTCCACGGTGATCAACAGGTCCCTGTTGCAAAAGAATCGTCTGGACAAGGAGCTGATCGACTACATCGTCTATGGCAGCGTTATCCAAGAGGTCAAGACCTCAAACATTGCCCGCGAGGCAGCACTGGCCGCTGGCTTCAGCAACAAGACACCCGCCCACACTGTCACCATGGCCTGCATCAGCTCCAATGCGGCCATAACCACCGGCATGGGCCTGATTGCCACCAACACCTACGATGTGATCGTGGCCGGAGGTGTGGAGTTCATGTCCGACGTGCCCATCCGCCACTCCCGCAAGATGCGTTCTCTTATGCTGAAGGCCAACAAGGCCAAGACCCTCGGCCAGCGCCTGTCGCTGCTGTCCACCTTCAGGCCGGGCTTCCTGGCTCCCGAACTCCCCGCCGTGGCCGAGTTCTCCTCGGGTGAGACTATGGGTCATTCGGCGGATCGCTTGGCATCCGCCTTCAATGTTTCCCGCAGCGAACAGGACGAGTACGCCCTGCGGTCCCACACGCTGGCGAAGGAGGCCCAGGAGAAGGGTTACTTCACCGATTTGGTGCCGTTTAAGGTTTCCGGCGTGGACAAGATAGTGGACAAGGACAACGGCATTCGTGTGTCCAGTCCCGAGAGCTTGGCCAAGCTGCGACCGGCGTTCGTTAAGCCATATGGAACCGTGACAGCGGCTAATGCCTCTTTCCTCACGGACGGCGCATCCGCGTGCCTGATTATGACCGAGGAGAAGGCCAAGCAGCTTGGACTGAAGCCCAAGGCATTTTTGCGCGACTTTCTGTACGTGTCGCAGGATCCGGTCGACCAGCTGCTGCTGGGACCCGCCTACGGCATTCCCAAGCTGCTGAAGAAGTCGGGACTCACCCTGAAGGACATCGACTCGTGGGAGATCCACGAAGCATTCGCCGGCCAGATTGTGGCCAATCTGAAGGCCCTGGACTCAGACTGGTTCTGCAAAACCTACTTGGGTCTGAACGAAAAGGTCGGCACTCCCGATCTGTCCAAGTGGAACAACTGGGGAGGCTCCCTGTCCATCGGCCATCCCTTCGCCGCCACCGGTGTCCGTCTGTGCATGCACACGGCCAACCGCCTGGTGCGCGAGGACGGCAAGCTGGGTGTGGTGGCCGCCTGTGCTGCTGGCGGCCAGGGCGTGGCGATGCTTATTGAGCGCTATCCGGGCGCCACTGCCGACTGAAATCGAAATAAGATCGACCGTAGCTTTTATACTCTTATGAATATGCGTTATTATGAATAAAGAAATCTGAATTTACAATTCGTTTTAATTCCTAACAAGACACAACTGGAAGCCAACTCTAATCCGTCTCGTACAGCTCCTTCTGCTTTAGCTTCGCCTGGAGAATATCGTTTTCGTTGTAGGTGAGATGCAGCGGAGGTATCAAAGCGCACGCCACCATCCGGTTTTCGGCATTCAGGAAGTTGAAGGTGGCGCAGGCCTGCAAGAGTGGTTGATATTAACAAAGAAACTAGCAGATAACAGAGCTACATACTTGCTCCGTGCGCAAGACCTCTACGTTTATCTTGTACTTCTTCATGAACTCTATGATCCGTTTGGAGAGCGCCGGTGGCGGAGCTTGGTCGCCGATGCCAATGATGAGAACATCAATTTTCGGTTCTAGGGTGGGAAACAGGCTGAGACTATCCTCGGTGATGTCCTCGAAGCTGTTGACGTTCCACGAGAGAACCGATCTGGAAGGAAGGTACATTGTTTAATTCGAACGAAGAATGTTTTCAATTAAAATAAGCATCCTCCGACCTTGAACATAGGCAGCCTTGATATTGAATTTGAAAATCTTTCGAAAATGTCAGAGGGTACACCACATGCAATTGTTTACATAAGCCGGCCACTGCTCTGGGCCATCGCCACTCACCTGGGAAAGACGCTAATGGGCCCAATGAGGACCATGTCGTTGTTCAACCTAAATCCGTATTGGCTGTAGCCGGTGATCATGAGTCCCAGATCCGTTTCCGTGTTGAATATGGACACTTTTGTCTTTCCATCATGGTCGTAGGCCTTGCTGAACGGCTGGCAGAAGGGAGTTCTCGGTGCGAGCACAGACCGGCTGGGCATCAGGAGACTGCGACTCCGCTGGGCGGCGACCCGCAGGCTTCGCGCAAGCATATTGGTCTTGTATATGTAATTAATATTATAGTTTATAACAATTCAAAAAACAAATAATGAAAAGTTTATCAACGGTGCGGGATAAGAGTGACCAGGTTTTCCCCACCTGGCCCAAAAGAGTTATCGATACCAACTGTCGATAGTTGCACATTTCACAGGTATCCCGCGAACGGCCACACTCGGCTATTAATTTATGAAATTTAATTTACGAACAAATTAACATTAAATTTTTACATTTTTCTTGTGTGTGTGTGACTGTATATTAATAAGAAATATTTATCTATTGTGCTGTTGTTGACTACGTATAAGTGCTACAGTGTCTCCTACAAGTTGCGAGAGCCAATTGAAAAACAAACGCTGAGGCCGAGAGAATGTTTTGATACAGTGTTTATTCGTGTGCAATGATTCAGCAAGGCGGTGAGTTGACCTCATAAAGTCCAATTGCCCTCCGATATTGGCGATATCTCGGTGCAATTGGTTATTTAGGGCTAATTGTATTGCTTGCAGCGCCCAGCATATGCTCGCTATCGCATGTACACACACGCACAGGTATATCTTGGCGTGCGCTTGTGTGTGATTGATTGGTGCGTGCACACACGCACCCACACATACACCCGCAAGCGCGAAGCCCGTTAATCGTCATTGGCAGTTAAAAGGTTACTAATAGCAAGTTTAATTCTTAGTGCCTTGCTAAAAGCTTTCGTAAATACCTGCAGATAGTACGAAATGTAGGGGGTGGCCTGATTGTGTGTATGTACGTATTGTACATACATGCATACATACATATGTGGGGCTGTTTAGTCATCTGTGGGGACATGGACGAGACGAGCTCTTCTGATATGCTTACTCTGATTTTCTTTCGTCATTGCAGTCGCTCCCTGAAATCGCCGACTCGATAGGAATTTAGCTTTGGAACACTACCTCAAAGTATCACCATGATCGGGCCCAGTTCGCAGATCAGCAAGATACTGCTCACGCTGCTGTTTTTGCTGATCATATTCTACGTCTTTATGGACGTGGAGCTCTACCTGCGGATCCACAACTATGCCATCGAACGGAACTACCACACCAATGTCTCCACCAACATAGCCGCCGTGCAGTCCACCTCGGAGTCCGGCAGCGGCAGTAGCAGCAGTACGAAACTCCCCACCGCAGAGAAGCAGCCGTCCTACGAGGATCACACCTGGATTTCCTGTGATATAAACCCACTGTGTCATGTCACGGTCAAGGCCATCCTGCTGGATCACACAAACCACTACCTCTTCGCCCCGCTGGCCACCATCTTCGACAACGTCATTGGCTTCTCGCGCTCCACCTTCATCACGCCCAACATGATATCGTTTTTCCACGTGGGCGTGGCCTGTCTGGCGGGCAAACTGGTTGCCTCAGATAGTCTGGGCTACCGGCGACTGGGCGTGCTGCTCTTCCAGATACGCACCTTCCTGGACGACCTGGACGGGCATGTAGCGCGCGTGCGCAAGCACATTCGCGGCGAACGCTCGGAGATCGGAACGTCCGGCTACTATGTGGATGGACTGTGCGACGGACTAGGATGCATTGCCCTGCTGCTGGGCATTTTCTTCTACCTGAAGAATAATCCACCGCGCCGGGGCTACTCCATCATCCCTATGAGCGACTCCAAAGCGGTGCCGGAGCCAACGATGATACCCAAGATGAAGGCCACCACACGCAAGGTGGCCAAGAACGTGATCAGCTTCACGGGGCAGCTACTGCTCAGTTCGACGGCGTGGAATCGTTACATTGCCGTCTACCAGAACATGCTGGAGCGCGAGGATGTGAGCAGCAGTCAGTCGAATTGCCAGGACTACATCTTTAAGTCCACCTGGTTCTTCTGTGTGGCCTGGACGTGGCGGATTGTCAACGTTCACGCTCTGCTCCATTGCGTCCTGCTAAGCATCTTCTGCGACAAACTGTGGGACTTTCTGCGCGCTATCCGGTACAGCGGTTACATAATCTTGTTAGTTGCTATCTGTTTAACTGAAATGCACATTTTGGAGGCCCAAAACTACATTTTCAACTCAACGGCGTGCAGTAACATTTCACTGTGATTTTATTAATATTACGAGAAAAATACAATAATATTTGTGTAGTGCAAATCAACGATGCCTTTTTTATTGTGTATAATATTTGTATCATAATTGTTAGACTGCTCACATTCAAGTCGGCACCGCCAATCACTAATAATATTTCGAAACCAACTAATGCATTTTGTCATTCAAAAGCGGTCTGCTTAGAGCAAGTCAAACTCCTTCAGCTGTAAATAATAAATGTTATTGATTAATAAACTGTATTGTCTTGTTTTTGGGAACTTGAGATATTTTCTGTTTACATTATTAAAGGCATTTTCTGGAATAATAATTAGGAAGTCCGTAATATGTACTCTTGCATGGTATTATGATTTTAGTCAAAAGTCAGAAAGGCAATGAAGGAATCATTTCCGACCCTACAAACCATATATATTCTTGATCAGCATTAACAGCCTAGTCGATCTAGACTTGTTTGACAGAAAAAAAAAATTTAACTCAATTTTTCAAAATTTTATAGGGGGTTACATCATTAAAATTTGCAAAATTGGCTAAAAATTTGAATTTCTTAAAAATAAAAATTCAGTATGCAGATTAATAACCCTTAAAAAAACCAGCACAGAAAAGCTTTCCGAATCAAAATAAATACATTTTTGACCGAGCTTTAAATGATTTTTAAACTGCAAGGGTATATAAACTTCGGCTTAGCTTTCTTGTTTTAAGGTTGCTATAATCCATATCAAAATAATATAAAGTAGCAGTTTTATTAGATTTTCCGGGGAAAACCTTAAATTTCCCAAATTTCCCAGGAGGTTGTGCACCTGCCAGATGAAAGAATTATAACCAACGACTTTCCCTTAACCAATATGGCAACACCAAAAAATATTAGGGTGCTTCGAGGGAAGACTCTGACAATCGATGTTTCAAAAATATCGATGTCTTTAATCGATAATAACATATTGAAAATATATTTACTTTTATGCCGTCACTATCATCCGAATACATACAGGAAAAAATCTAAACTGAAATCAGAGCAAAGGGAAAATATGGTGTTCTTTTCTAAAGAAAATTTGTTGAAATCTCAATTGTAAATATTTTTACTTGTATTTATTACGCACGAATTGAAAGTGGATGTGCATACAGCGTGTGTTGTGACGAAGATACGAGCGAGAAGCGTGAAAAGAAAAGTGTTACCTGGTTCTGCCTGTGTGTGAATCGAGACGTGTGAGAGAGCGTGCGAGCTTAATGCCAAATACTTGCCATAAAACATAACGTGTGTGAGAAGCGCCTTAAGAAATCAGATATTCAAGAGGCACTGCGTCTGTAGAGCAGCGTCTGAACCCCCTAAATAGTGTAAGAATTGTTGTGTAACCACCTTTTAGGACAGCCGAACTGGGGCTTACGTCCCCCGTGTTTCTGTAGTGTGTGTGTGTGTCTGCACAGTGTATGTGCAATACACACAGATTTCAGGACGAGACCAAGTCTTTAGTTTTGGGGAAGGGGGGAAAAAGGGTTTTAAGGATGTGGTTATATTATATTCCATTAGAAGTATAAATATTAGATTCACATTTCATACAACTAATAGGAGTGCAGCAGCTAGCTATTTATAACAGACTTAAAATACAGAAAACAACAAGAAAGAGAATATATTGAAAAACAGCAAAGTTATAATTTTTTTCTACAAATTTTCCTATTTTTCCTATGTCAGCTATATGATAAAGTCGTTCGATCCGGCCCGTTCCGTCATATATAGTAATAAGAAGACTATCTGCAATGTTTCATTCAGATAGCTTCAAAACTGTGGGTCTAATTTGCGTAGAAATAGTAGATCGATTCGGATGTTGATGATGATCAAGAATATTTCTTTCTAAATCCTAATATATTTTCTTGTTTTACTCAAAGTTCTATGATTGCAGGCCGTAGGGAGCAGGAATACTTAACATTTTTATTACTATCCTTTGACGGTTTCTGTACTTGACTTACGATTTATGCGTGTATTTACATTTTGTGTTGGATTTTTTAAATGCATCTGATAAAAAAAAAGAAAGTATGAACTGAGTGAGTGATGTTCATGTATGTAGGCCAGAATATGTGGGATGTTTCAGTTGATTGAATGATATGATGGATCATGTCTAGAGCGCAGTGTGATACGTTTTCCGAGCAATTCTATAACTTCCTGCCATTTTTAGAGCCGCCGTTGGGAAGGGTCGCGATAATGGATTTCGTTCAAGTTTCGGAGGAGGAGGGTGATGAGCCCATCGAACTGCCGGCTGAGGAGGATGGCACCCTTCTGCTCTCTACGCTTCAGGCCCAGTTCCCTGGTTCTTGCGGTCTCAAGTACCGCAACATGGACACAAAAGCTGTGCGGGGAGTTCGCTCCAACGAGGGCAGACTCTTCCCGCCCAGCGTAGACTCCGGCTGGGGTGAATATCTATATTTCTGCGTGTTTCCAAAGGGTGAGTTCTGGTTTAAGCACAGCTAAGTATGGTATTTATCGTGATATTTTCCAGAAAACAAACGCAAGAGTGACGATAACTTGGAGAACTCAACGGCAAAGACAAAACGCATCGAAACCCGTCTGCGTTGCACTGATCTTATCGTGCTAGGTCTCCCCTGGAAGACAACCGAGGAGAGCCTGCGGGAATACTTTGAGAGCTATGGCGAGGTGCTGATGGCTCAGATCAAAAAGGACGGCAAATCCGGTCAGTCCAAAGGCTTCGGATTCGTGCGCTTTGGGTCTTACGATGCCCAGATGCGCGTCCTGTCTAATCGGCATCTAATCGATGGCCGTTGGTGCGAGGTCAAGGTGCCCAACTCCAAGGTGAGACGTATAACATTACAATCTGTTTTTCGATCAAGCTAACCATGTTCGTGTTCCAGGGAATGGGCCATCAGGTGCCATGCAAAGTGTTCGTTGGCCGCTGCACAGAGGACATAAATTCCGATGACTTGCGGGAGTATTTCTCCAAATTCGGCGAGGTTACGGACGTCTTCATACCCCGTCCCTTCCGAGCCTTTAGTTTTGTCACATTTCTCGATCCCGACGTGGCGCAGTCTCTGTGCGGCGAAGATCACATAATCAAAGGTAAGAGAGGGGTTGCCTTGGCAAGATAAGATCCCATTAATCAACGTCTTTGTGTATCCCTTAGGCGTTTCGGTTCATGTGTCGAATGCTGCCCCAAAGGCCGAGCAGAATAGAAACCAGCAGGGCCAGAGCTACAATTACAACTCGGCCAACGGCTTCGGCATGCCCGCTTACCATCCGCAGGGCGGCAGCCACATGAATCCAGGCCGAAACGGACACCACAGAGGTAATAACCAACACAGTGCACACGGAGGTGGTGACAACTCGATCGTCGCCAATAGCCACGGCAGTCACGTTGGCAGTGCCGGTTATGGCATGGGCGGCAATAATTATGGTGGAAATTCGGGCGGGGGCTATCATAACAATGGCAGCAATCACTCTAGTGGCGGGAACGTGAACCGCCAGGACGGTAGCACCACCTATAATAGGCAGGCGAATTTTCACGGAATGAACCAGCCGCACAACGGCAACGTGGGCGGCAACGGAGGCTGGATGAATCGCGGCCACCTCGACATGCCCAATCTGCAGGCGCTGGGCATTAATTCGCAGGGATCCAGCTCCTCGAACCAGGGCCAAAACATGAACAACCCGTCGATGCTTAATTTAAACTCATTGCCGATCAACCCAGCGCTGGTTGCTGCTGCCCTCAATCAGTGGAGCCTTGTCGGCAATCAGCTACAGAATCAAAACCAGGACCAGCAGGCAAGCCTCACCACCACTTATCAATGTTTCAAACAAAAAACTCTTTCAGTTACTTTGCAGGGCGGCAATTTTTTATCGTGGATGGCCCAAAACGGTGGCCACAACGCCAATAACAACAACAGCAACTTTGGCGGCCGTAAGGGATCAAATAATCCGAATAACCCCGGAGCCGGGGGCATTAACAAAGCCGACAACTCGGGCTGCAATGACCCGCAACAGGTTAGTAGTTATATTTTTTATATTTCTTATCCGAGTTAATTAACTTATTCTGATGTTGCAGAATGGAAATTCAGGCTGGTCGAATCAGAGCAGCGGCTCGCAAAACTCTGTGGAAAAGTCAAACTTTCTTTAAAGCTGCGATACCAGTGCGATTTGGTACCAACTTATTACGATGTAACGAGTGTGTTTAAGAATCTATACCACTTTGATTTAACCAAAATCCTTCTGTAGCTTACTTAAATAATTATGTACGCTCTACACTTGAACAAAATGGCTAATTGTAGGTATTTAATAATATGTACTTGAAATTTTTGATATGTTGTAAGTTCGAGAATGGCGGCGTTAACACTTTAAACCAATATTACACATATATATCGGTGGAGCCCAGTTAATTATAATCAAAAATGCATGTAAAGTGGTCAAAAGGTTTGAGTACAAAGTGTACTATTACTTTTGATTGCCACTGTACCTGGCTTATGAAGAAGAAATAACTGAAGGTGCGCTGGAAACCGAAAGGGCCATGATTGGTTAACAAAAATTGTACAATTTATAGATCCCGCTGGGAAATAAAATATGCGCCAAAGCTCAATTTATCGACTTGTTTTTATTATTTTTATGTGGGATCTGCAACAATTTTCCTACGAATTATATTAATTATATTATTATTTTATAATTTGTATTAAAAACACTTGTAATTGTTACGATCCCTGGTCTGTTGGGTGCCCCTACTCGTTGCTTTGACAGCTTAAAGTGTACTCGTTGGAAATATAATCATATAAACAAAATAAAAATGGATAATCCATAGAATCCTTTTTTATTTTATATTTTAAATCAAAACAAAATATATATATATAATGCTCTGCAACGATAAAAATCAAAAGTTATCGTTGATAACTTATCGCTTTGTTAATCGAAAGTGCTTTTTCTCATAAGGGGAACTCTTTTATTGCATTTGAATACATTGAACAAAGTTCGTAGAAGCTTTACAGCAAAGAAATTGGCTTATTTAATTAAAAATATGTCATCAAAACATTTTTATTTATTTTTACCATGTAATGGAATTTTATAAAACAGGGGATTTACCAACAAAGTGTGTTTATGACGCGCTCGAATACCCCTAACCAGAACGTTTGAACGATGAAAATACAACCCTGTGCTTCAAATTCAAGTTTTCATACGAAATTTTCCCACCAACTGCAGTAACGAGTTGGTTTCTTTTTCTATTTTTTGTTTTTTTAAGAAGGTGGACAGCTTGCAGACTATGCAGATATGAATCAAGTAATCCAGGAAAAGTTTATTCCGCAGCAGTTGCTGCATTTCCTGGCAGGACGGCGTTGCTGCCAGCAATTCGCGTGCACTTATCGGCCCAGCGAGCACGAGGCGTTCGTAGCGCAGTCCCGGGCTTATGGCCTGCGCTCCCAGATTGTGTACAACAATGGCCAGAATTACATCAAGGTGTTTAAGCAGGCGTGCCACCACTATATGGAGCAGCCCAAGGCCTTGTCCCTGTCGTCCTCCAGCATAATGAATATGTTCACGATGCTGAGCCGAACAGCGCTTCTGAACAGGGAGGATCTGGAGCTGTCCGATCTGACTGGCCAGCGACCAACTTGGCGCTCGATTCATCTCCCACTGCCGCCCATCCGTCCTCAAACGGCCTACTTCAAGACTGAAGGCCAGCGCGTCTTCCTCCAGAGCTTCCCGGGACACCTTCACTACGACGAGATCCTGAAGCTGATCTACGCCAATCGGGTAATCGTCTTTGATGCCGATCGTTCGTGGGACAAGTCAGTGTTTTTGCCGCTCCTGATCCTGGATGATTGCGGGAACAAAAAGTCGCACGTCAGGATCATGTGCATCGAGAAGGACAGCGTTGTGGCGATGCACAACAGTCAGCGCATGGCGGCCAACTATTTTGGCGAGGAGGTGGGCGAGTCGGTGGGCATCCAGCTGCCCTACTCCAACATGGTGGGCTCCAGGACGCACATTGTCTTTTCGACGGCTCAGTACTTTCTGCGCGCCGTCGCCACCCTGAAGTTCAAGGACATCAGCCACGTGGTTGTCAACGACGTGCATCTGCATGATCCCTACACCGACATTCTGCTGACCGAGCTGCGGGATGCCTTGAATAAGAAACCAAACTTGAGGGTGGTGCTGCTTTCCCAAACGGACAACTTAAAGCAGTTCACCGCATTCTTTGGCGAAGGCGCCGAAGTGAATATGAAACGCCACCAGCCGTCGAGGACGCGCATCGCCCATTTGGACGACATACACAGTAGCATTGCCTTAGCTGGGATTCACAAGGGACCGGATATATACAAGGAGATCCCGGAGATTTTCCGCACCAAGAGCCAGCGCAACGAACAGATGGACAATTGTCTGCAGGCCTACGAGGATCTGGGCACCGATGCCGCCATTCGTCCCTTTTTGTATGCCATCAACTATGACTTGGTGCCGGTGAACTACCGCCATTCCGTGAACGGCAAGACCGCCGCCCTCATAGCCTCCGACCTGAACAACGCCAATCATCTTCGTTTGCTGCTCTTCATGGGCGCCGATCCCTATATCATGGACACGCAGCAACAGAATGCCATCTCCCTGGCCGCCTCCAAGGGCAACCACGAGTGCATAGATGTCCTGAACAACTATAGCCTCCATGGCTACGTGGTCAAGAATGCCAAGCCGGAGTTTGTGGACTACGATCTCATAATTGACATCATGTATTTGCTGCGCACCAAGCCAGAGTTTACACCGGGTGAGTACCGCGGGGGCGTTCCAGGATTATAGGATTAGGTTAGGTTTTCAAATTAGCTTTCCCGGGCTTTGGCTGAGGCTATCATATCTAGAGGCGTCGTCGTGTCGTCGTGACTCTTTCGCCAAGCTCAAAAAGCGATTAATCGCGGAAGTCCTATCGGTTGGCATCGCTATCGATTGGTATCGCTTGGCAATTGGGCATTGTTTTTTTTACATATAGAAACACCACCAAGATGAGCACGTACCTTCAGAGCAGCGAGGGCAAGTTCATTCCGGCCACCAAGCGCCCGGACGGCACCTGGCGCAAGGCGCGCCGCGTCAAGGACGGATATGTGCCGCAGGAGGAGGTGCCTCTGTACGAGAGCAAGGGCAAGCAGTTTGTGGCCCAACGGCAGACCGGCGGAGTGCCGCCTGGCATGTGCCCCCTTGTGGCCGCCGAGGCCAAGAAGGAACGCGAGAAGCAGGAGCGCAGCAAGGCCAAGAAGCAGCAGCAGCAGGGAAACAATCCCAAGGCACCGACGCCCGGCGTTCTGGTCTTGCCCCAGTCCAGCACGTGCCAGCAGCCCTCTGGCAGCAGCAGCAAGGAGGTCAACGCGGTGACCAAGGCCCTGGGCGATACTCTGAGACTGGAGGAAGGAGCCCAGGAGCTGGATGCCAACAAGCAGTTGAAAAAGCTGCGCAAGAAGATTCACGAAATCGAACTAATCGAGAGCAGGATCCAGGCCGGCGAGCAGAAGAAGCTGGACAAGGACCAGCTGGACAAGGTGAAAAAGAAGAGCGATATCCTGCGGCAGATCAAGGCTTTGGAGAGCGAAAAGCGCTCCTCGTAGCCCTGAGTCCCAAAAGCAAATCAGCTCCTGCTATACACCGCACTCCTCCTGCTCTCACCTCACTGACCAGATGTCGAGAAACAACAAACAAACAAACAATTGCACGCATACATATATCTCTGTTGAATAGTTATATTAGTTTTTAGCAGAATAAGATGTCAAGGCCATTTAGTAATACCAATATCTATTATTATTAATGTGTGCGTCTGTCCCAACACCCAGAAGGGTTTGCCGAATGTTTATTTATGTATAGGAAACTTTGTAAATCAGATTTAATAAATTAAAAACCACTACTCCAGCAGCTTTTGATCGAGAGGGTTGCCCCGAGTTAAATCAAGGATTTGCTTTTATGTCTTCCAGGCAACATTCTCATCGTTTTGCCCACCTACTACCACATCGTCAAGCTGAACTACATGCTGATGAGTCACAGCCTCACTGGCAACCTGCAGGAGCTGTCCATTTTTCTGCTGCACGAGAACATTAAGATGGAGTACATTGAGGCCTTGGTCAAGTCCCGAAGCCCCGACACCGTCAAGGTCGTGCTCACCACGGACATCATCGAATCGATGCCGCTGCAGGAGGTGCCCTTCAAGTATCTGATAGATACCGCCTGTCGGCTGAACAAGGTCTATGATAGCAGCGTCTACGGTGTGGACGATCGCTACGAATGGGTGTCCAAAGATTGCCTGATGCGCAGGGAGTTGATTTTGGACATAAAGGGTTAGTTGAAAAGTTACCCATATTTAGGAGGATTAAATCAGTAAGTCTTGTTTCAGCTCCCGATGCCCAGTGCTTCCGTTTGATATCCAAGGAGGCGTTCAATGCGCTGCCCGAGACCAGCAAGCCGCGACTGCAGACCATGCAGCTGGACAAGATCTGCTTGGCCGTTAAGTTGCTGTCGCCGAACATGATCATCAGTGAATATCTGAGCTTCACCATCTCGCCGCCGCCGCTGATAAATGTGCACCATGCCGTGCAGTTCCTCAAGAAAATCGACGTTCTGGACGAAGTTGAGGAAATCACCTGGCTGGGCTGTCGGCTGCAGGACATTCCGCTGCCCTGCCAGCTCGGTCGCTTGCTTATCTTTGGCATCCTGCTGCAGTGCCTCGATCCCATACTGACCATTGTCAGTTCACTGACCACGGCGGATCCGTTGGGGATACCGTTTAACGAGGACATCGATCACCTGTGGGACAGATTCACCATTTACATTCAGAACCGCATCAAGAACGAACGCTCTCGGCTGGCCGACAATCAGTTCTCCGATCACTTCATCTTCCTGCGCCTGTTTCACGAGTGGCAGAGCAAGCTGAAGAACAAGATGCCGCCGCTGTATCTCACCGATGAGTACGACTTTGTGTTAAACGGTTTGATGGAACAGCTGAACTATACGCGCTCCGAAATCGTCAGTGCACTGCGCTCCACGAATCTGATCCATGGTCATGGTCAGCTGAGTATGGCGAGTCTCAATAAAATGTCCGAAAATTGGCATATTGTGAAGGCAGCGCTGACCGGCGGCATGTATCCCAATATCTGTGCCGTTGATCAAGGGAACAAGTGTCTTAAGTCGGCCATCTCGCCGAGCGTTCATCTGCACCCAAACACGGTGCTTCGTGACTTTCTGGAGCCCTTGAAAATCTCGGCTCTGAATTTTCGCACACCCTGGATTGTGTGCACCCGGCATAAGGATCACATTGTCTATGCCACCATGGTGGTGCCCCTGGCAGTGGCTCTGTTTTCTGGTAAGTCTTACAAATTGGAATCCCCCTTATTTACCTGTTATTGTATTCCCTCCCCCTTTAGGACCTCCCCGTCTCCGGCTTTCCCAAGTGTGCGATAGCCAGTCGAATGATCGCAATGCCCATCTGTTCATCGACGAGTGGATCTGGATGGTTATGCCCAAGCCTGTGGTCGAGTTGGTCATGAAGACGCGTCAGTTCTTCTTCAAAATGTACTACGAGCTGCTGAAGAACTGCTGCGATCAGGAGCTGTGGCGACGCGAGTCCGGGCCACCGGGATCGACTCATGCTGCTTTGGCTGATGCCATATCAAAGATCTTTGAGGCCGAAGAATCCTTCATTGGCTTCTCCAAGCCGCCGGCCATCAACTACCGACCGCTTGCCACCTTGCCGCCCATGTACTTGCTAACCGTCAATTCTCACTTCAGTTGGATACGGGAAGTCGACGAGAATCGTTCCTTGTGCAAGAACCAGGAACAGTTCTACACCCACATGGTCGAGCGGCAGTTCTTCATGCTCTACACCGAGGAGGACAGCGAGAGCTTCTACGGCAAAACCAGCAGTTGCTTCATTGAAAGCGTCCTCGGGAAGTTCGTACGACCGATTGAGACGCCCATCAGGCATATCTTTGTGATTTTGTACAGAAAGAATCCGGATGTTATGATCAGCGTTAGCCGGGCCAAAACCATAAATGGTGAATTCACCCTGAAGGAGTATTTTCGCAACTCGATTCCGGTGTATGAGATTCTGTGAGTGAGCAGGGATTTTACTAGTTGCTATACACATCTAATCGAAACTATGCCTTCCAGTGATGCATGTATTTCGTTAAAGGTTAATGTCCCCGTATTCGATGGTCGTTTGATGTCCTGTCTCATTGACAAGCGTGTTGGAAATCTGATTATGGATCTGTTTGCCTTTCGTCATCATTGGATCCACAAGCGCTAGCCACGGGGCTTTACTTTTATCTTACCCATTTTATTTTGTTTCAGCGTCACTGGAAGTCTTTTTTTTTCTTGATGAATCCAACTTATGAAGTATTATTATGTTTAATGTGAATGCTGTATGGAATGTATATTATTTTTACTAAATGTTAGAGCTGTTTGCCAAGTAAAGGGACAATAAAAAGACAAGTCTGCATAGCATTTTCGAAAGCTTAAAGTATTGTTAAATTGGTTTAAAACGGGTCACTTTTTCAAAACTTGCTAAGCTAAGGTTAGCTTATTAAATTAAATACCATAAAAAACACATAAAACTTGACGAAACAAATATTACCATACCATACGTTCCCTTAATTAATCACCTCTCCTCCCACATTTAGCCTCAATTAAACTCACATAAGATACACTACAAAATATTTTCGTTTAGTTAGGTACAGCGCTGTATGTGTATGTATATTTTGTATAAAAAATATTCGAGATTAGTACAGAGATGGACACAGATCTACACAGAAATGCTTTATATGCTTAGCCTAAAGTGGTAAATTGAATTCAATGGCACCCGCAGGATTTCACAATCATGTTTCTATACTTTTTTAGGTTGACATTTTCGTCGTTCAGGTGATACAGCACCGGCAGTGCTCCCAGCCTGGTCGGTGCACAGCATGGCTTGGGCACCTTCTTGGGCTCCAGCAGGTGCACCAGCGTCTGGACGATCGCGTGATTTGTCGCGTTCATGTGAGCATTGAGTGGGAAATTGCACTCGCCGCTGCAGTAGAACGCCCCATAACCCTCTGGCGCTATGATCCAGTCGTGCCAGCCCAGGTCCTTGAAGTCAATGTACAGCGTTTGCATCTGGCAGCTGCGCGTGTTCTCCATGGGTGCGTCGAGGAGGGGAACGGTGTTCATCGACACGGACTTCTTGCGCTTGCGCGGATGTGTGGCGCTGCGCTTGGACCTGTGGTGACTGCTGTGGGCAGTCGCCTTGATCAGCTCGGGGCCGCGGAAGAAGCCAATCATGAAGGGTTGGTACTCGTCGTCCACCTTGCGATGGATTAGGCCGACATCGTCCAACTTTACCTCCCTATCGGGCCGGTTGACGGCATGCGCTCCGATATAGATGCCGTGATTCTCCTTCGACTTGACCAGCCACTCGTGCAGGCCCTCGGTCACGTTCAGTTCCAACCAGCCCACATAGTCGCCCGTGGTGTTTACCGAGGACAATGGCTCCATGGTGTGCTGGCCCAGAGTCCCAGTGCCAATGGCGTAGACGGTAATGGTGAACTCCTTGTTCGTGGTCAGCCACTTGCCCTCGTTGGAATTCTGGTAGATGCGCAGCTCGGCCATTACCAGGTAGTTGTCGGTTGGTACCTTGGAGACATCAAACCACAACCGACGACCGTGCTCGTGGCGCAGCTCCTCCACGTTGTGGTTGCGCTTGTTCAGGAAGGTCATGATGATGTCGCTCTCGTCTATGGCCCGCTTGTCCAGGTCGGTGATGAAGTTCTTTTGCCCTTCGGTGTCATCCTCCTCCTCGAGAACACTTCTCCGGGAACGATGACCACGCTCATAGGAATCCTCATCGTCATCGTCATCATCGTGATGACCATGATCGTTGGCCAAGCCCTCCTCCGCCGTGATGCGGTGGTAAACGTCTAGCAAAAACTTCGGCGCCGACTTTCTCAGCGACAACTGGTGGCTGCTCAGGTGGGCGGGACGCTCAGCAATTCCGAGGAACTCTAGAATTTCATAAGATACATCCAGCTTGTCGTCCTCGCTGAGCACACGGTGCATGATCGTCTGATCCTTGCCATTGTCTATGTAAATCCCCGACTGGGTGGCTTCCACAGCCGTCGGCGTGGTGGCGACGAATACGAGCAGAACCAGTCCCAGCCCCAAAGAAGCTAGAACTGCAACAGCCTCCGAGGTGTTTCGCAGACGCAGATTCGACAACATGCTGAATACCGGACGGATCGGTTAGGATCACAATGTTTAGCTATTTACTATGGGCTATCCTACTGCGCGATAGCATCTACGTTGAGCACGGACATTTAATTGTTTAATTGTTTATACGGCGGCTTCCAGCGAACTGTGGATTCCGAAAATTCTGACGCACTTACAGATTGTTGTGTGTATCTTAATCTTTAAGATGCATTTTCTTTATATTTCAAAGAAGTTGGCAGGGCGTTCAAGAAACACGATCTTCAGGGCGGAAGAATCTCAAACGGACGCCATTTTTGTGTTTTTATTCGAAAAATGAGATTGATTAATTAATATATTCTGTATATATTTAAAATGTTAGTAAATAAGTATAAAAATAATAATTAAACCATAAATAACATCAAACGTTTTGAGAAGAAAACTTTAGCAGCATATTTGAAACAGTTATGAATTTGTAAATAAAATAAATTAATATAATAGTTAACAGCAGGTAGTAAAACTTAATGAAGTTGACATGTTTTTTATTATTTTATGTCTTGTACTGTATCGTTGATTACCTTTCAGTCACCAGGTAACTAGTTACGGATACAAAAAATGTATTTTACCGAAAAACGGTGCTGCCAACTCATATCTGTCAGATAGAAATAATATCGATATACTGATATTTTCAACAACCCCAGTTTTCATTCGTTTCTGCGTCGAATATCGATATACTGATATTTTCATGTACTTACATTTTACATTCTACATGAGAATTCGACCCCAAGCCTGTAAAACCTTGTTTTGACATTTTACTTAGAAATTCAGAGGGACCAAGGGGAAAATACCAAAAAATATCAAATGAAAATATCGAGATTTCGATATCATTTTCAGGAAAAATATCGATGTTTTGATAACATCAATGCCAACATCGATGTTCTTCCACCTCTATGGAGCTCTGTTTTAACAGAAATTCTGTTACTGCGATTCCATAGACAAAATTCTGTTAGGTTCTCGTTAACAGAAAATTCTGTTAAAAAATAATTGCTGTGAATTTCAGAGTGACCAAGGAAATAATATCAAAAAATATCAAATAAAAATATCGCGATTTTGATATTAGGGCAAACAAGTTGGTATTTATATTATTGTTTCGTTTCGGTCGAATATCGATATGATATTTTGATATTTATCAACAACCCTAGTTTTTAGCACCCCCTTGCTTCCTCATTCGTTTCGGCGTCGCGGCCAGATAAGCGCGTTGTTTATTTCCGTTTAGTTTTAAGTTAGCGCGTTTTTAGCCACCGCCGGTGTCGCCCAAATAATGCTAGACACAGCCTAGAGCAACGGTGAGCCGGTGGATGCCGACACGTCTGCGGTGGCGACTCTATAATCCTTCTTCCGTGGCAGGCACAACATCCACTACAAAAAACCGCCACACGAGCAGCCGCACAGTTAACGGAGTCGGAGAAATGGGTCGCAGCCGGAGTCCCGCCTCGCCGGCGCACAGGAGACGCGAGAAGGAGCGATCAGAGCGAAAGAAGCGCAGGGAGCGCCGCTCCCGGGAGAGAGAAGCTATCGGAGGAGCCGGACCTGGAGGCGCCGGCGGCAGCGGGAGCAGCAGTCGTCGCGACCGAGAGCGCGAGCGCGACAGGAGTCGCAGCCGCGACCGGGAGCGGGAACGCGATCGTGCGCGGGGCCGGCGATCTAGGTGAATAACAAAGTGTAGTGTACCAAAGGCCAAAACGATAAGTATAACTACTAGTACTAGAACCTATATTTAAGGGGAAGGGGGAGGGGAGGGGTCGGGGACGAGTATCGATAGGGCTCAGTTCGATAGGCAGGCAATCGATGAATTTGCAGCTCTGGCGCTCAACAAAAAAATTACCACGTGAAGTGAAATTGGCGAATTTCATCACGGCGTTTAACTAATTTTCCGGCTTTATAAACAAAATCGAGGAGCTCTTCCGGACCAGGCTGAGTCAGGCCGCGTAACCAGATACAAGAGAGTCCACACGGCGAAGAGAACCAAGTACATACAGAGAAAATGGCGCTGCGCGTGCAATTCGAGAACAACGACGACATCGGCGTCTTCACCAAGCTAACCAACACATACTGTCTGGTGGCCATCGGCGGCTCCGAGACCTTCTACAGCGCCTTCGAGGCTGAGCTGGCTGAGACGATTCCCGTGGTGCACGCCAATGTGGGCGGCTGCCGCATCATTGGACGCACAACGGTGGGCAACAGGAACGGCCTGCTGGTGCCCAATTCCACCACCGACGAGGAGCTGCAGCACCTGCGCAACAGTCTGCCGGATGCTGTGAAAATCCAGCGCGTTGAGGAGCGCCTTTCCGCTCTGGGCAACGTCATTGCTTGCAACGATTATGTGGCTCTGGTCCACCCAGATCTGGACAAGGAGACCGAGGAGATTATCGGGGACGTCCTCAAGGTGGAGGTCTTCCGACAGACAATAGCTGATAACACACTGGTGGGCTCCTACACCGTGCTGAGCAACCAGGGCGGCATGGTGCATCCCAAGACAAGCATAGAGGATCAGGACGAGCTGTCATCGCTCCTGCAGGTTCCCCTGGTTGCGGGCACAGTAAATCGCGGCAGCGAGGTCTTGGCCGCCGGCATGGTCGTCAACGATTGGCTCTCCTTTGTGGGCATGAACACAACGGCCACAGAGATCTCGGTGATTGAGAGCGTCTTCAAACTGAACCAGGCCCAGCCGGCCACGGTCACGACCAAACTGCGAGCCGCCCTCATCGAGGACATGTCCTAGGCGAAAGAATATCCACCAGTTTTTATACTTGATCTAAGCGATTTTTCTGTTATCTTCTATAAAATGTCATCTAAGAGCGCTATGTGCTAAATACACCACAAAAACAAAATGAAAACCAGTCTGTTCTGCCAAAGGATCTTACAGGATCAGTTGTTAGGAGTAATTAGGATCTAGATGAAGTCGTTATTATCTTTATTTTTATACAAAAAGATTATTCGTTTACATTAAGAATGAGAGATCTTAGAGTAAAGACTTCTTGGTCAAGAGCTACCAAATTTATTTAGGAAATTCTTTTTAAACTAAAACATTGGAATCTTTTATTTTAAAAGCATTATTATTATATTTATTACACTATTCAAGAAGGATATCTATTATATGTATTATACCTTATCTTCATGTTGATCCGATTGAATCATTTCGAGTTGTTTAGTTGCCAAGAGGTGCGGTCAAGGCCATTATATATAAATTATGGACCTGAATTATGCCTATAGATATCCCGAAAGCCCAGACTTTAATGAGACCCTTAATGAAGTTACCCGACCGGTTGCCAAGTGTCGCCGCACATTTCCTTAATTAAATCCTCAAATTGCACAATCGGGTGAGCACCGTCCCAAGGTCGCCCCAGTTAATTCCCAGGCTCACTGCAATTCGAATGCAATCAACTGGCACTTCAACGTGGCGGCAATCTGTCACTCATGCATTTGCTCGCCCAAAAAGTATTCAGAAATTCACAATTTACGATGCCCAAATTCATGGTTGCTTTGCAGATCACGCTCGAGGGGCACCGGAGGCGGCGGCGGCGGCGGAAGCAGCGGCGGCAACAGCAGCTCCGGACCATCGACGTCGCGGCGAACGACAAGGAACAATGCGGCAGCTGCCGATCGTCCCAAGATCAACGAGGCCGATCTGGAGGGTAAATCGCCGGAAGAGGTCGAGATGCTCAAGACAATGGGATTCTGCACGTTCGACACCACCAAAAACAGGAAGGTCGAGGGCAACGATGTCGGAGAAGTGCATGTAATCCTAAAGCGAAAGTACCGCCAGTACATGAATCGCAAGGGTGGCTTCAACCGGCCGCTCGACTTCGTGGCCTAGCAGTCCTTGGAGCAGCTTGCATCCGCATTCTTGCATCCGTATCCCTCTGACCAACTAGTTTGCTACGCTTTTTTTACTTGTCCGCGCCCATACGGGCGACGGCGGACGAAGAGACCTGCAATTTTATGCAATAGACCGGTTTACGAAATTCTCTCAAAATTTCCACTCATCAAGCCTCACCACACACTCATCATACCTCAATTAGTTATTTAGTAGTTTAAGCCTGAAGTGCGCCTTTGTTATAAAATTATCCCAGGTTAATTTTACAACAAAAAGCCATCTCTGAAGCTGAAAGCAAACCAAATCCGGCTAGGATTTGTGCAGAGAATCTGCTTTCAGCTGCAGTTGACGGACGCATGACGATTGCTTTTTGAATATTTCAAAGTAATTAACACAATTGTTTTTGTTGACATCTCGCCATTTTGTACGAATACGAATTAACTGAAAGGCCAGCCTGAAAACCCCAAATTCACAACAGCAACAAAATTTCCAAACACTCACACAGACAATTACTTAAAGTATTTGAAAACAGATAACCACAGATCCCAGCCCCAGGTCCCATTCCCGATTCCACATCCTGATCCCTGCCCGAACCACCCACCCAAAACATCCTCCATACGCTGCAATAGTACAACTTTTACAACCAAATGATATATATCTAATATATATTGTATATATACAAAAAACCAATAATATACACACACACCACAAGTACCTTATCCCCGAAACCCCCCGAGAATGAACCATACAATAGCCATAGCAATTTGTTGAAAGAAATATTATTTGTTTAATAATCAAAATGTTGTAATTAAAACAGTTAATTCCGATTTAAATCACAAGTGCCAACAGATCGATCAGGCAAACGCAAACGCTGAAGATGAATCACCTTTTTATACAGCAGAGCAGATATTTGTATAATCATTTTGTACTCTTTTTTTATATGAATATATAGACGTGACTATTTGTATGTCGCAAGAACAACAACAAGTAAACTATTTTAAGCAATAGTTACCATACACACACTTTTGTTAAATCCTTTGGAAAGAAATATGTATTGGAAAATTCAAGTAATTTTGGCCACACACACACATACACACACTCTTTTTTCAATTATTTGTAGTTGTAACACTTGAAGAAATTGCAGGGATTTTTTCTTATTTCATATGCTCCTACAATAAACTGATAATAAAATTTGTAAACCCTTAACCAGGAAACCAGTCTCTTATTTATTGAAATAAAGTGAACTTGAATTAAATTTGTGTATTTTTAATTTATGAAATTTCAGGGAGTTATAAAGACAACAAGAAAGAAAGCTAACTTTGCGCAGCCAAAGTTTGTATACCCTTGCAGGTAACAATTAAAATATATCATAACTAAGCCAAAAATGCATTAATTTCGATTCGGAAAGCAGTTTTGTGTTAGTTTTTATTAATTTAAAAAACCTGCAAACCAAATTTAAAATTTTAAGAAATCAAAATTTTTTGCCATTTTTGCTCATTTTAATTATCAAATTTCTCAAAAATGGCCAAAAAATCGATTTCTTCCGGACATGTCTAGAAAGATTCGCCTGTTGATGCTGATCAAGAATATATATGGTTTATGGGGTCGGAAATGATTCCTTGACTTAGAAAAATATTATTTTGTATTATAAAATCTGATTTTTTATATTAAAAAACTTCTTGATTTTTTTAAATTAAAAATATCATAACTCGGCCAAAAGAGCATTAATTTTAAATCGGAAAACTGTTCTGTGCAAGATTTTCTACAGTGAATAAATCTGCATACTTCATTTGGAAATTTGGAAAATTCAATTTTTTATCAAAATCAAAAATTTTAATGATGTAACTATAAAATTTTTCAAAAAATGGCCAAAAAATCGATTTCTTCCTGACATATCTAGAAAGATTCCCCTGTTGATGCTGATCAAGAATATATATACTTTATTGGGTCGGAAACGTCTCCTTCACTGCGTTGCAAACTTCTGACTGAAATTATAATACCCTGCAAGGGTATAAAAATAAATAGAAATATATTCATCTTAAGACTGGAATGTACTGTCTCAGCGAATTATGAATTTGAATGATCTTTATTTATAGGTTCAAATTTTTAAGATTTTTCAATGTTTGATGCTGATCAAGAATATATATTCTAAATATCTTGGGAAATGACTTATTGAATTTTGACTGAAAAAATGGATTTTGCCAATAAATATCATATCTTTGATTATAGATGAGAGACTTTGATTTTGCACGGTATTAGAATTTCAGTCAGAAGTTAGTATTTCGGTGAAGAAGATTTGCAATCCCAAAAATCTAATTTTTCCAGCTATGATAAGAAGATATAATTTAAATTATTGCAAGGTAAACAAGCACAGGCGAGGAAACTTCTTCAAAATTCCAATTAATGGTTTTCTTTTTAGTTTATTTTGTAATACGAAATGTAATACAATTTGCAATTTGATTGAGATTAAATTACAAATGAAATGCTTAATAGGAGAAAGATTATCGTTACACAACGGTGAGGGGGAAATCGATATGAACACAAGTTACAATGCTTGGCAAACTCAAAATGAAGGTGTGTATACCTAAAGTTATAATTAGTTATTGTTACGCTTGATTTCGCTTAAAAGTGTATAAAATTGTTTTACATAATAAGAAATACATGAGGCGCCGTCTTCGCTGGAAAAGTAGTTACAACCTTTTCAGTTTTCTGGCTAGGATTAAGTTGGGGAAAGGGAGGAAAAGAATCAGATTTGTGCGCCAAACAGCTAGAATCTGCTTAAAATAAAACTTTTAATAGGTCGTGTTATCTCGATTCTGTGTGTGTTAGTCTTTTTGTTGCCGCTTCTGATCGCTAAGGCTGATCCTGGAGGGATCTGGCTGCACCTAGTCGCCCTTACGGGGCTTGCGCTTGCGCACCTGTTCCGTCTTCTCTGGCTTCTCGGGCGCAGAATCTCCGCCCAGTTTGGGCTCTGACTTCTCGACCTTTTCCGGCTCGCTGTCGGCTTCCTTTTCCTGTGACGGTGAATCGCCCGCCTGCTCTTCGCTTTCCTCATCCTCTTCCTCGTCGTCCTCCTCCTGCTCCTCCGCATCGCTATTCTGCTGCTCATCGTCGTTCTCATCAGCCTCGCCGTCATCCTCGATCTCCTCGGTGGCCAGATCTTCCACTCCCGCCACAAGATTCTCTTGGGACTCGGAGAAGCTCTGGCGCTGCGATTTCTTGGGTGGATAGACAAAGTCCACAAGGCACACGAGCATCAGCCCCAGAGCGGCTCCCACGAATATGGTGGCGATGGCAAACAGGGCGTAGGATCCCCACGTCGGCAGGCCGTACTCTTCCTGGAGGCGCCCGTTGAAGTCCTTAAAGAGTTTTTGCGTGTGCTATTAGTATATGAACCAAACATACAAAACAACGGCAGAGAGCAAAGACCAGAGGATGAGTCAATTAGCGAATGGGAATGCGCGGTAATCGCCGGGTCAGCGGGATGACACCGTCGATAAGCTTCCGCTTCTGTCTCATGCAATGAACTGAGGCGATAAGCCGGCTAGGTGAACGTACCTTCAGTGTGTGGGACAGCTTGAAGAAGAAGGAGAGAATGGACATGTGGATGGTGTCGGGCTTCTTCCAGGCGGACAATGGTTCAATGATCTTCCACTGCTCCCTCTTCACGAAGTGGAGTAGGGCATCGCCGTCCCGAGCCCCGCGATACTGGCGGAACTCACCATCCTTGACGCTGCAGGGGATTAGATTAGTTTATTTCGCTTTAACCCTTATCTTTAACCAACTTACTGATAGATCGTGGGCAGAGCGGTGACAAAGAAGCGTCCACTGAGCGAGGGCGAGGTGGTGACATCGATTTTGGCCACCTGCACCTTAACATCATGGGCCACGCGAGCGAATCGCTCCCATGTGGGAGCCAGATTCTTGCAAGCCGGGCACCACGGAGCAAAGCTAAAAATACACAATAAGAGACTCTCTTAAAACAGCTGCCACCACTGGGATGAGTCATCGAACAGAGCAAACACAACGGAATGTGCAGCATTCCAGGGAAACATGAAAACCAGCTTGCCGGGTGGTGTCGGGAAACCGGCGCACCACGCCCCGTTACGTCAGGGGGACGGGGGAGGGTAGCACCTACTGGAAACGGGGAAGGGGCACCTAGAGGAGCACTTTCTTCACTCACAATTCGATCATCCACTCGCCCTGGAGCATGAGGTGCCAATTGTCCTCGTCCAGTTCAATGAGCTTGCCACCTGGCCGCAGTCCTGTCTGCGCCGTCGCCGACTGCGCTGCCGCTGCCGTCGCCAGCAGAACCAGCAGGACACATGACGCGGCCACAATGTGCGTTTTGCAAATCATTTCGGTCTGCTTATGTTTTCGTCGTGACCTGTCCTGGAATTTGTGACGTTCGGGCTTCTACGATTTCAGTTTTCTGTGTTTTTTTACTTAATAAATTCTACACACAATTGCGACGCCGTCAATTATACCATAACGCCTGGAAGAGGTGGCCGGAAAAGCGGGTATTTGCGACAAGTGGTCGAGTGGTCACACTGGATTGGCTTAATCCGGCGCCAATTTACAAATTATGTTTTCTTTTAATTACTTCCGATTGAGTGCCCGGCGTTTTGGAGTATATTTTAATACATTAATTTTTATAAAACAATTTGAAAATGCTGGAAAAACCTGTTCAACAAAGCTATCTTCAGTGCTGCCAGACTGTTCACCAGGTTTCAGCGTTTTTGGCAGACTGAGAAAAGGTCATACGATTGTCGTCGAACAAAAACAAAGAAGATAAAATTAAAAACACAACAAAATTAGCCATTTGGGAAATTTCTCGTCTCCAAGTTTGTACGCAATATGGCCCACAACTACCTGCAGCCGGTGCACGATCATTTTGATGACGTGGACAGGTTCGAGGACGTGGACGATGACCTGTTCCTGCAGAACAAACGGACTGGCAGTGTACCCAAGCAGAGAAGCACGAATCCCTTCGAGGTGGAGGAGGATGACGATGAGGAGATAACCTCTTCCCCCTCAGTAGCTGCCCAGCGCCTGGCCTATGCGGAAAAGCGCCGAGCGATCGAGCAGCGGACCCTGGACTCGACCACCAAGAGCTTAGGTAAGCGACGGGGGTTAAAAGTCAGCCAATTAAGGGGCGTTACTCACTTCGTCGCTCACTCTCAGGCCTGCTGTACGAGACCCAGGAGGTGGGCAAGGCCACGGCCGTTGAGCTGGCCAAGCAGCGGGAGCAGCTGGAGAAGACGTCGCACCAGCTGGACGAGATAAGCTCAACTCTGCGCTTTAGCCAACGCCACCTCAACGGCCTGAAGAGCGTCTTTGGTGGGCTAAAGAACTACCTCGCTGGCAACCGGGATCCGGCATCCACGGCTGCTGCCTCACCCACGACCAGCCTATCCTCCCAGGAGGCTAATAGCAACATCGACCTAGGCGCCTGTGGAGGCGCAAGCCCGCCTGCTCCGCTTTCTCCAGCGGATCGCTATGACAATCATCCAGTTAGTCGGCTACGTGGCGATCCCAGCAGCACCTATCAAAGCCAACAACGCCTGGGGGCCAATCCGTTCCAGGCGCAGATTGATGCCAACCTGGAGGACATGTGCAGCAATCTCTCGGTACTAAAGATGTTGGCCACGGACCTGGGCGGCGAGATCGAGTCGCAGAACGAGCTGCTGGACAATATGAACTATAAAATCGAGGATGTTGACATGAAGATGAACAAGCAGAACAAGGATATGAGCAAGTTGCTCAAGAAGTGAACGCGAGCACTCATGGAACACCATCGTATTATATATATTGTTTAATTTCTTCGCTAGAATAGCCCTCTTTGATCATAGTCATCACCATATCGCATATAGAGAACTATACAAGGCCATTACAAATGCATTCCTCATTCTGTTTCTTAGATTTTTATTGTTACTCACACCAAGAGAAGATTCTGTCGTTGGAGCTTTTGTTTGGACAGCGATAAGTGTTCATTTTTAAATAAAAATTCATAAAAATAAAAGGAAGAAAGAAGATTCTATTTCCGTTTTTGGACACATACAAAGAACTCTGTTATCTTGGCTACTGATTAGAAGCAGAAGAGCATCGATGTTTTTATTATTTATAGAAACTTGTTGACTGTTAATTTTGTACAGCTCTTTAGAGGTAAAATTAAGCATAAAATTATATGCTAATTTCTCTTTAAATTAAACAATATCAGAATATATTTATAATTAATCAGAGCGAATTCCTTGAAAATAACACAACTACAAAGGTTCATTTGCTAATAAAAATTAAATTTTACAAATTTTATTTAAATTATAAAAAAAAGCATGCATTGGATTTTTTTTTAATATTTTTTATTTCCATAAAACATTTACATTTCTGCTAGCGTTGCCATATTTTACACCAGCTGTCATATGAATGTTATCGATAAAACACCCTATATCGATGAGGTAGTTCCTTTCACAATATTTCTGGAAGCGATGTCGTGGCGCTGAGCGTTAGCCGCTTGTCTTTCAAATTTTCGTTGTGGGTTCGAGTCCGACCTGCGCTGAAAAAAAAATAACAAAAAAAAGCCCCTCATTTTGGCCGGATTAATTAAATTGTAGTTAATGCCGTATATGCATGAGGAGGCAGAACGAATTGGTGGGAATTACGCCTTCGGTGCTCATAACGGTTATCAAATCCGTGAGAAAACTATCATCCTTGTTTCCCTCCATATTTTTTATATTCCTTCAAAATACTTTCCTCAATAGTTTTTGTTAAAACCCATAAATATTTATTCATGAATATGGTTTCCTTTGCTTAATGTTACATTTTAACATAATTATTATTCACGATTACTCTTTTTTTTTAGTTTGTTTGGCATTTTCGGAATATGTGTAATACTTTCTCGCTTACACTTAAGACTTGATATAACATATATTTTTTGATTACCAGAACAGCAAAATTTTATACATTTATTTTAATCGATATTTTATGCATAGTTCGACCGGTGTTATCCTGTAATGTTTATTATTTTGATTTTGCATTATTCCGCTAAATAAATGTGCAACCGTTCACAATGCCGTCTGAATATAGCTTTCCTGATTTTACATATAACCCTGCAAAGAACTTTTGATTTCGAATGCAAACCGAAATGTTCTTAAAGAATAGTTAATGATTTTAAGCACTTTACTAATACGTTTCTTAGGTTCTGTGTTCGGTTAACCACTTAAGTAATTATTTGCTTTATTTGCTGAGTACATTTCAGGGTATTCTGCTTATTTTTTAGGTATTTTGCACGATTTTTTGCTAATATTTATTGTTGATGATTTGTTTACTTTTGTGTACATTGAGTTGGGTGGGTTATACGGATTTTGATCGGTCGTCGAAGGGCCTCAAGGATATGAGTGTTGCAGTTATTTGATTACTTCTCTAACTTTTAAACATCTGCTCTATTCCGTTGGCATCCCAAAGTCTCATATAAAATTTGAAGCTCCTCTGTTCAATGTTTAAAGTAAACTCCACTTACTTCACTATATTATAATGTGCCCTCGCTGAGGGGCAAACTGTAGTATTTATAACTAAAATTACCTTGTCTGAATTGACAGCTTATGGTTTTCGGTGACTTAAGGTTAGGTTTGAGCAAATTGCGGCATTAATTTGATTAACATTCAACCGAAATGTTTGTGGTTTTTGTTGAACAGCCATTACACATTTCCTTAATCGTATTATTCTGATAATTCCGCTTAGCTTACTCCTTGCTTTCCCATCTCGACAGGTACACACATCCAGTTCAACTAACAAACATGCAACATCGATGGTTTGTTTAAATACTTCATATACATAGATATCGTAATCCGAATCAGGGTTCTAGGTTCTCTAGGCTCTAGGTACATATGTATGTATGTATGTTTATAAAACTTAAAACTCTTGCCTCCTATGCGCCCTCTACACCGCCGCCGCCGCCGAGTATTTTGACCTTACGCTTTTTTTTTTCTTTTCTAACCTTTTTTTTTTTTTTTTTTTTTTTTTTTTTTTATATTTATTTTTGTGCTTGTGTCACAGCTACTGCGCTAAACAAACATCAACAACAACGAACTCAAATTACAACAACGTGTATAGTATATATTCCTGTTTCCAATTTTACTTACGCCTAAAGTATGTTTGACACAAATTGAAAATTATTTCGCGCCGAAGCAAATTATTTATCACACATTTTCGGGGCTTAAAATTAAAAGTTGTCATCGTTCTTAATTTATTCTTACAATTTTGAATTTGTCGAAAAACACTCAACATTGAAATTAACAATTAAATTATAGGAAATTACAAAAATAAGTGAATATATTGCAGGGTAAATACTTGATTAGTGGTATATTCATTTTCTCAACTAACTACAGGTACAAACACATATAAATATTTACGAATATTATATTTTTTTCTATTCTTTGTATATTTCAATATAGTTATATAATTTATTTATTCTCAACATGAATACACAACAATGGTTATATAAATTCTAGAAATATACTTTCAATTATTGTTTTTTGGTTTTCTCATGAGCATTATCATTATCATTATCGTTATCATTATCATTATCCTTCTAGTCCACACACATAAAACACTTCTAAATACTTTTTTTTTGTTCTTAACTATACAAATGCACCCAAATCGGGGGATTTGATGCAACTTGATTAACATTTAGGTACATGAGTCTCTCGTTAGCATAGAAAACATAGATTACAGTGAGCACATAGACACATTTACAGATTTGAGGGATATTACACTCTTATAGATATATATTCTTTGGGCTCTAGTTGGGGGGGTCGGTGATGTAAACGGTTCTAAATATATAAACAAATGTATGCCTTTATAAAACGTAAAAGTCCCACTCCGTCACTCGTTACTTTTGGCGTAACGTCACTCTTCACTCGTTACTCCTGTCCCTCCAAAGTAGTCTTAAAAGTACTTGTAGTAGAAAAAAACCCAATCAAATGACCTGCCGTGGTCACTCGTATAAATAGTAATACTTGTGTATATTTGTATATAAATTTATATATTTTTAAAACTCAACGTTTTCCATTGCACTTTCAACATTGCTCTCGAATTGCGGGGCTCACAGGGGATCATCCATGGGGGGATATTGCACACAAAAAGATAAACAAACACCAGGAACTGGGCCTGAGAGAAGGTTACGGTTCCGATTCCCATCCTGCACTAAGTCCTACGTTAACTTGTTCGGTAATTACAATCGAGTCTTTCGTCCATCATTGTCAATCCATCTCGAGTGGCTTATAGAAATTAGGTACTAAGGAACAGCTATCCCACACTGATGACTGATAAAATAGGTACTTTAGCATAGGAAACATGAAGGTTTCTTCTTCTTTTCTTGCCACTCCAAATTAAATATTAAATATCTATAAAAACATTGCGTGTTATGTGCCTTCGCCTAGTTCAACTTGTTTTACATTTACAGCTTAAACTGGGGTTCTTCGGGCCCAGCTCGTTAGGTACACACACATACACGTTAATATATATTTATATTTTATATATATGCTTATAAAAATAGTTGTCGATACTGGGAACTACGACCAACCTTAATTTAGGGCCTATTACTTCTTAGTTGCCGCCGATGAATTGGCTTTCGTTTTGGCCTGACTGCCGCCGGATGTTGCTGTTGTCTTCGAGGAGCTGGCTGCTGCTTTCTTGCCCGATGCCGGAGTCGCTGGAGGAGTTGCTGCTGCTGTCTTGGCTGCGGTCTTTCCCAGACTAGCTGGAGCTGCAGAGGCGCCTATTGACTTGCTGGTGGCAGCTGCTTTTGTGGGGCTTGTTGTTCCTCCGGCCTTGTTGGCTGGTGACTTTACTGCCGCCTTGGTTGGGCTGATTTCGCCGGGTTTTGTTTTGCCAGCTTTCGCCGTTTTGGCCGAAATGTTGCTGCTGCTAGCTGCACCTTTATCCGCAGATGCTGAACCAGCCACTGTCTTGCCACTGGTCGTGGCTGTCACTGAAGGCGGCGTGGCTTTTGCTGGAGGTTTTGAAGATGTGGCTGCAACTGTTGCTGGCTGTGGCTTTGCTGCTCCATTGGCCACACTCGCTGCCGGAGGTTTGACTGCTGTGATAGTTACAGCCTGCATCTCTGCTGCACTGGCACTTGCTTTGCCGTTTGTCACACTTACACTAACTGTTGCTGCTTTGGCCACGAATGTTGCCTCTGGCTTTCCTTCTGACTTGAACGTGGAAAGCGGAACAGTTGGCTTTGTGCCAGCGTCAACATTTACTTTAGTCGGAGCAGCTGCCGGTATGTTCTTGACGGCTGGTGTGATTTTTGTGGCTGGTGACATTTTCGCCGGGGCTGTGTTTGCGGACGTCGTGTCTTTATTGGCAGCAATGCTAACAGTCGGCTTGGCCCCAGCTGCAACGCCAACTGTTGCTGTTGTCGCTGCTGCCGATATTGTCGGTTTGATTGGCGTAATTGTATCCTTGAGTAGTGCTGCAGCATGGGCCAGTGGCGGCGGGGCTTTGCCGTTGGAGGCACCACTTGAAACTGTTGCCTTGCCCTTGGCTCCAGCTCCTGCAGGAGTTGGACCTGGCGCAATGGTAACCAAAGTGGCAGTGGCAACCCCGGCGGTCGATGGCTTCTTGGCCGGAGCAGCTTCAGATGTTGGTTTTGCTGGTGTCGCCGTCGTGGCTTTTGCCGGCGAATTGACTTTCATGGGATTCTGATTCTTCTCTCCGCCGCCCGCAAACGTGGACATGGCAGTGCACTCACGTCCGCTGCTCTGGGTTCCTGCTGCTAGGACCTTAGTGGTCACCTCTGCCTCCTTTTTGGCTGCCGGCTTAGCCTCCTTTTCGTTTGGAATCAGTGGCTGCTTGCTGGGACTGATTTCGGTGGGGGACTTGTGGGTGCCGTTCTTGGTATTCGTCTGCAGGCTGCCACTGCTGATTTGCTTGCCCATCGCCTTGGCCATGGCCGGACCCGGTCGCTTGCCCACTGTGGCCAGTGGCAGGCACTCAACATCTACGTCCACATCAATGGTCAACTTGCTCTCCTTCTTGCTGGCCTCCTTTTGCTTGGGCGGGGGATCGTGCTCGATGAGGATCTGGTTGTTGGTCACACCGTCGTAGTTCTGGCTCTGGTATCGCTCGGCGTGCAGGTTGACGCAGGGCCTTCCCGCTGGCCCCCACTCGGCGGTGGGTTTCAGCAGGTACTTGATACGCTCCCGGAAGCTGAGATTCTTCGGCGCCTGCCAGATCTCGTGAAAGGCAACGAGGAATATAACCAGGACGGGCAGCAGGCCAATGATCCAGCCCACAGTGTCGGCCCACAGAGGGTACACATAGTGTCCATACTTGGCCGGCTTGTACTCCACCCAGTTGAAGAAGAGAATGAACTGAAAGGAGAAAATAGTTAGGAAATCTAAAGTTGTTTACCCAACATCTAAAGATCGCAATATGAATGAATAACTCACCAGAAGTGTAGCTGGTGTAATGTAACGCCACATGATGCCCCAGAAGAAGTTCCAGAACCAAGATCGCTTGCCAATCATTCCCTGAATGTCGTTGAGGAACCGCTGCGATCCATAGATCCAGGCAATCAGGATGCACTCCGAAATGGCAATCAGCAGAACCGACCAATTGGCAGCATATTTGTCCATCAACTGAAGCCAGTACATGCCGCTCTAAAGGGATATATTAATTAATAATTAATTTCTTGATTTATAATTTATAACTTAAAAACCGCTTACATTTGTGGTGAAGCCCAGGCCGCCAATGTAACCGAAAATGGCCACCGAGAGGACAACCCAAATCTTGTACTGCCTCAGATTGGGGAACCTATCCAATATGGCAGTGGTTACGGTCTCCATCAGAGCAAACTGCGAGTCCAGGCCCAGGGTGAGCAGCATCACGAAGAACAGCACAGCCCAGACGGGAGAAATGGGCAGCCGAGTGACCACCTCCGGATAGACAATAAAGGCCAGGCCAGCACCCTGGTCCACCACCTTCTCCACGTCCACATTAAGCTCATGGGCCAGGAAGCCGATGATCGAGAAGATCACCAGACCGGCAAAGAACGAGGTGGCAATGTTGCAGAAGGCCACAATCAGTGAGTCCCTGAGAAAATGTTTAAAAGGATTTAGCAATGAAAATTATTATAGATATATGATAGTAACTCACTTGTAGCAATTGTTGGAGAACTTGTTGTAGGAGGAGAGCGTGATTAAACCTCCCCAAGCCGGGCTCAAGGCAAAGAATATCTGAACAGCTGCATCGCCCCACACCTGTAGGAGGATTGATAAGGAAATTAGGACATTAGGACAACGACTGGCTTATTTGCCATTGTGTGGCCCACCTGAGCATTAGCCAACTGCTTCCAGTCGGGCGTCAGGTAGAAGATAATACCCGTGCTGGCGCCCGGGAGCGTTACACCACGAACGAAGAGTATTACAAGGACAACGTAGGGGAATAGGGCTGTAAAGTAGACCACCTTGCCGGAGGATTGAACACCCTTGCACAGGCAGAGGAAGACAATCGCCCAGGCCAGGAAAAGGCAGGCGGCCAGTGACAGCTTAATGCTGCCCGTCTCCTCGATGCCCTTGGACAGGCCCAGTACAAAGTTGCTGTAAAATCGAGGTTTAAATTGAAAATAAAGCTTAAACTAAAGGAGGCGACGCCACACTGGGAGAAAGAAGATTAGGAATCCAATCAATTGATAAGGAAAATTAAGCAAAATTATAAAAGAGTCTGGTTTGGATAGGTATTATTATGATATGGATTCTGGACTGGAAACTTCTTTTTCCCCTCAAACGATACCCACTTGAAGTATTCCTCGGCTGGCGGACGCTTTAGAGCTGTAAGGGCCAGGGCCGTGATGTTGTTCTCCGCCGCAGAGGTGGCATTGTGGCAGGTGCGCAGGTAGTAGGTGCCATTGGTGGCCTCGCACTGATCCGCCTGGGCGTAGGAGAAGCAATCTGCAAGAGACTTAGGCTGTTAGCAAGTTGAGAAAAAAAAGGGCCAACGACAAGCTGCAGCACTCGTCGGTGGCACTCCCTCTCAATTATGTATAAAAGGCCAGAAGAGCATTTTAATATTTATGAACTATTTGTCGGTTCGTTTCGGGGGGTCTGTCCGGCTACATAATTAAAAGGACAAAGTAGCAAATCAGAGGAGAGCATAAAAGGGGCAAGTCCGGACAACAATGTGCGGCAAATACAAAAAAAAAAAGGGTCTGACTGGGCCAAAAGCTCTTGGTTAAAGGGTTGCACAAAAGGTTCCTGGTCTTGGCCAGTTTGTAAGTTGAGTGGGAAAGCCGGGACTTGTTGGAGGAGGTGAAAGGTCAATAGCAGACCAATCTGTTTGGGGTTCCGAGTCTTTTTTTCGGAAAAGATGCTGCTGGCATTCCTTCTGACAGGATTTTGATTTGAATTTCTCTAATGAGACCTCAGCTTTATGACTCTCTCTCTCTATCGCTCTCTTGAAAGGACCAACCGCAATTTCTGTTTACCTTGGCAGAATATATACATATTTTGGCTTTAAGAAAGTTACATAACAGCTGTGCTTATGAAATCTAGACTTGTAATTCTGGCAAAGTTTTCTACCAAGAAAATAACCACAAAATGACAAACGAACTGTTGAGTTCAACATGACAAGTTCATAGGGGACGACTATCGCCGCAGGACATTACTGTTGGCATTACCTAATTAAGGCAATTCACCTAAAAAGCAATTTCAAAGTCAAGTTCAAGTCAAATCAATCATAGATAATATAAAAAACACATTTTACCAGCGGCAACGCTGCGTATGTGTAATGTCTGTCAATAGACATTACCCATACGCCGCGTTGCCGCTTTCCGCAAATAAAACCTTGGTAATTATAGACCAAGTCCTGAGCCGGAATTAAGGCCACATTTCGATCGCTCACACGCACATTTGTCAGAGCAATTCATCAGCTTCATTTGCCAACGCGGAAAATGGATATAAATTTGAGAACAATTCCATGTGGTTGGCTGGATGGATGTGCTGTCGGGGTTGGATGGGTTCGGGTTTGGGTTTCGTTGGGAAAACTTCAAAGTGTTTACATGCCGTTTAATTTGCCTGTCTGCATCTGTTTGTATTGCAATTAATTTGATTACACAGACACAGGCACACACGCCCGTAGATGCGAATCATATAAAATGAATTTTATTTGGAAAAGCAACGAGCAAAAAAGGGAAAAAGAAAAACGACGACTGCCTAACAAATTCGGGTTTAAATAAATATCTATGTGTGTGTGTGGAATATCCTACAGGCGAAAGGCTACACCAGTGCTACACACCCCCAGGTTTCTTATTCAATTTCGAGTGCTACGCCCGCCTGGCTGGCCCAGGAAATTGGCCTTAAATTTTGTGACCTTTAAGTTTGATGGCAAACTTTGATGACGAGCAGATTGCGATGTGGGCGCCCCCGAGTGTGTTGGTATAAAAAGTATGCGGAAGGCTCGTCTGTTGTAGGGGACTCAAATTTCAGTTGTTGACAGTTGAGTTTTCCTCAAAGTTTAGCCAAGTTTATGTGTCTAATAAATAAATTGCGAGTAACCAGGAGTAAGCTAGTCCTCTCTCTCTTTTACGTTATTAGGCCCATGAAAAATCCATTCAAATATTTACTCGAAAGAACATAAACATGTAAGTGTAAGAGTCCCTATATTCAATCAATCGGCAAACAGAGTTAAACACATTTTAATCGTGACACTAAAAGTAAACATTTGTCATCTAGCAGCAGAAACAGAAACAGAAACAGACGAGGACAAAGGCGACGAGCACGAGGTCAGAGATGCTGCCTGGTGAAATCCGAGGGCGAATCGAAAAGTGTCAATAAATAAAATCCTTAAGAAATTGCTTGTCTGCTGCTCTCTCTCTCTCTTTATATAGACATTTTCCTCCGCACCGTACTCAACTTTCCTCTCGCTCGCTTTGTATCTTAAGAGCTTATGGAAAAGCCTGTCCCAAGGTTGCTTGTTCCTCTGCCAGCGATTGAGTGTCAAAAACAGTTAAGACATAATTGTTTGTCATTTTAACAATTTCAAGCTGCCGCGTCCTCGTATGCTGCCCCGCCAGCCCCTCTAGAAGGTGAAATATGAGGAAAAGTCATCCTGTAGTCTCTAGTCTCCCCCCCTATCGATTTCTCTTATGCTTCCACAAAAATAGCGGAAATGCCAAGCAACCTGCGACCTCTGTCTAAGTCTGATTTCATTTCCAAGTCCCTGGCCAAGAAGCTGGCTCACTAGGCGTCCTCCTTATATTAAATCATAGCCATGTGCCTGCTAAGACAGTGGCTGACTTAAACGAGAGGGGTTTCAAGTAAAATCTATTTAAATTATATTATTAACAGTCTTAATAACGGAGAAAACACAAAGATATAGCTATATAAGACTTGCAATTATCTATAGCCCCTGCTGACCCCCCTTGGTTTCACCCCTGGCCCAGGAGGGTCTCTGTCTCATGCAAAACTTTCAATGGCATTCGACGATGCTGCTCGTTCACGCCGTGGTCCTTGTTGTTGCTCCCTGGGAATATACACCCAGCCACTTGAGAACGCGTGTGTGTGTGTGGAGGCCCGAGTGGGTCTAGGTTGTGTGTTTGAGTGCTTCCAAGACGGCCGTCATAAAATAAGCTAAACATGACAAAAAAACAAAAAAGATATACTCCTTGGAAAATATAAGAGGAAGCCAAAAATGAGGCCAATAAAGAGAAGTTCGCATATCCTTATTGGATGAATTAAGGTAAATATGGAAAGTCAAGTATAAAAAAATACAATGAAATAAAATAATAAAAAATTGTATTAACAAATATATGTAGAAACTAATAAAATTTATGAAAATTTAAACTAGTTTTTTAGTCATACATTTTCTTAATAAATGAATCATATGTTACTTAATTAGAAATCTGAATATAGTGTAATAAAAGTCTTCGAAAACTATATAAAGCTCCAGCTTTAGTTTTTATTTTTGATTTCTATAAAGAAATATACCAATCTCTCATCACTTCTAGAACCTCAAATACACCAAACTTGGTCTCACTTTTAATATCTGTGTCTATAAAGTGAGTTATTTGATTACAATGAAGAAATTTGCAAAGTTTTCATCATTCCCTGACCTACATACCCAACTTTGTCTCGCTTTTCCGCCCAACCAGTCTCATCTAACAGAATCTCCCGGCTTAGATGGCGTTCAATGCTCGTTAAAGATTTATGTGCTACGCGTGTTGGGCAATTTTAAAGTGTCTCTGTTTGTCTGCTGTGTGAAAATAAGGAACTCGACGGCAGTCTACTCGCCAGGATCACACAAACAGGAACACTCGCTCACTCACCTTACAATGTCAGGCACGAAAACAATTGCCTACTTCAAGGCGCCGTTGGATTTCGCCCAACGTTATGGTTTGCTCTGTGCTCCCAGGATCCTTGCTACCAGCTTGTTATTATAATTCTCAGTAAAAGTTTGCACATACTTTTTTATTGTTTGCGTGTGCGCCAAGGCAAAGAGAGAGGAGTAGGAGGAGGTAGTTTTGTCCCCCCAAGACAACAGCGAATGAGTGATGTATTTTTGATCCCCATCGAATTATGCCAACTTCAACTATTTTGATATTTTGTTATTTAAATTTTATTTGCAATGATTTGCAAGTTTCCTTGAAAGTTTACTCGGGATTGTGTGTGTCCTTAATTCTCCCCTGGGGTCTAACGGTTACACAAGCTATCATTTTAGCCCACTCACCCCCGCGGTCATGTGTTTTCCCAACCGGGCCACGTGCCGCCAACCAAAAGAAAAACGGAGGAAAACAAAAACAAAACGGTCGGAGAATAGCAAAATAAAATTCCACTTTTGACAGCTTGCAATTTGCCTAATTTATGACCCGAAAAACGTAACAAACGTAACAAAAGATGTGAATCTTTTACTCTTTCCCCTCGCCCTGAGTGTGTCTTGGGCTATTAATTAATTGGAGTCATCATATTAGCCTTATTCTTAGCCTGTCCCCCAGGGGATTACTCACACTTGGTGCTCCAGGCGGGCTCACAGTTTTGCCACGGCAGCTTGGTGGCAAACGAGGCGAACATGTAGAAGATGGTCCAGGCGATGATCAGGTTGTAGTAGAGCATGACGATGGCCGAGACGAGGATCATGCCGGTTCCCAATCCGCGGAACAGGGGGCAGAACCTGCGGAAAACGGCCACCGGGCCCAGGGCAGCATACTGGCCAAAAGACAGCTCCATGAACATCAAGGGAAGGCCGGCAATTACCAGCATGATGGTGAAGGGTATGAGGAAAGCACCTATGGAGGTTTAAAATATATACAATAAATAAATTATATTTTCTGAATATATTAGTTTTAATAAGGAAAAGTGAAACTGTAACCCACCTCCTCCATTATTGTAGCAAAGATAGGGAAACCGCCAAACATTGCCCAGACCCACTGAATAGCCCAGCAGTGACAGCAGGAAATCAAATCGTCCCGTCCAGGTTCCACGTTCGTGCTCCGTCTCGCCGCCTCCACCTGGTCCAGTGGCATCTAGTGAAATTAAAGCCGTTCCGGAGGCACAGCCACCGATACTGATCGCCGTCGAAGGGCAAACCACGCCACCACCTCCACCTCCGCCGCCAGCTCCTGACTTGCTGCTCTGCCCCATGGTTGCTGGTGGCAGGTCAGTGGGGAATGCGGGACCCTGATCTTCCTCCTGCTGTGGAATATACAAAACAAAAAAAAAAAGAGGTTACCCCGTTATATATAATAGTTTTCAGGTAACATGGCATTGGCCAACTGCCAACTGTCACAGCTGGTCAAGAATGCTTAATAAAATATGAAAAAAATGATTGGCCTTTTGATTAATAGCCGTGGCCTCGATTTGGTCTAAATTATGGCAATATAGAAAGGTCAAGGGGTTGAAAGGCTTAGACAAGTAGTTGGTAATATGACTTACATTTATATAAAAACTATATTTAGATTGGTTCAGAAAAGGCAAAGGTTTAATGAGAGCTTAACTGAAAAATGTTTTATATTTGCTTTTTTGCGTGGGACCCTTATGAAGGGTTCTTTCTATATTTATTCTGATTAACACTTTTGTATTTACTTTTTTGTCTAATTAGATGTCATTCTCGACTTTTCCGTTGGCGTGGAAAAACTCTGCTTTTGTTTGTGAAAAAAGACCCCACAAACAATTACTGAAAGCGGTAGTAATAATTGTTAACAACTTGTAAATGGCTTTCTAATTAAATTACAAGCTTATTATGACTTTATATGTTTACAACACATTTATACAAGTTGAACAATAGAAAATATGTATATTGTTTTAGGTCACAGAAACCTGTGATTGTTTACATATTGGCTTCACTTTATCAAGTAAATTTTTCTTTATTTTGCCTTAAACCTTAGCTAATTTCCACTTAATCCCCGTTTAATAGACTCTGTATCGGTTTTCTCATTTTGTAATTTCCGTTTCGTTAATTAAAATCACAGTCACGCCCGTTTTTTAGACATTGCTTTGCCCCCAGTCGAGGGTAAATGAGTGCTCAAGAAAATGACGCGCCGTCAATGGCACTTGATGCTGGGCCACCCTCTCACCGCAATACCACCCTACCTCACCCACCCTCCCTCAGACACACACACTTACATATATAGGCATATATATAGGGTTTATGGAACAACTGTCACACTTGGTGTAGTGGCCATAACAGCTTGTGATGGGATATGTGATGATGTGAGGATGAGATGAGCTGTGAGAGGCCATATCCGCTTTTCCACACCGCTTTGAGTGTGTTTGCCTGGTCACGTTTTTGTGTGCCATTTTCTTGCTCTGCTCTTGGCTCTTGCCGGTGTTTTTGCAAGGCAATTTGTTGACAGCGCCTCGTAATTAGGCAGTCAAATGTGTATTTAACCAAGTGAGTGAGAGGCTGTCAATGTGCTAATGATGACCTGTGAAATGGTCATAAGGGAAAACGGAAAAACCCATGAAATTTCATCAGGAAAATTCTTCCAGTGAAAAGTTTTTCGCAGAAAAAAAAAGGGGGGAAACAATAGCCAAAACCACAGAACCCAATTCCCATTGCCATTTCGAGCAAGGTTGCTCCTGGCCTGGTTCTGCGGTCCAGCATTCCGCCCCTTAACTATTCTGCCCCACTCCCAGTGGCTGCCGCCGCTGGCATTTGCTTAGCAAATAGTTCCTAATGATTCCAGCAATGCCCCCTGGGCAGGGCCCAAGAATGCGATTCGGCGGCGACAAACATAAAAAAATAAAATGGAAAAAAATGGCAAACTAACTGCAGTACAAATAAACATTTAGCTTTGTGCGAACTTTTCGGGAAATTGTTGGAACACAACCTGCACAATTCACAGCCCTGACAATGGAAATCGACGAGAGGCGGCAGGTGGCAGGCGGAAGCGCTAAAGTTTCCATTGAAAAAGCGTGAAAAGTGTTGGCAAAGTTTTGCATCGCATCGGTCAGTCGAAGCTGAAAGCGTTTTAGGGCTCACAGTGAAAATCTATTTATTTTCCGCAGGCTGAGAGATCCAAGCAATCCGACTATTCTGGGCACGTAGGAGCGGGATTCTGCACAAACAGTTGGCATTTCGGCTGGGTAAATATTAAGGGGGAGGGGAGGAAATGGGCGGATTCTGGCCAACTGAACTCTCAAACTTTGACCAACTTCTGGCTGAAATGTATGGAAGCGACTTGATTGAAAAGCACGCTCGTATTATATGCTTTTAGGGCGGGAATATTTGGGAAATTGTAAACAAATGTTTGCTCAATCGTTTGTGCACTGATGTTTGAAGTTCACAGTTGAATGCATTTCATCAGGGACTTTAAAGATATTGTATTTAATTGTCGGGATACAACTTTTGTTTTACTGTAATAGCATTTTAAAGTGGCTTTGGGTGGATAAAAAATAAAACTTTAATTTGATACTTGAAAAAAAATGGAAAAGAGAAATATTTGGAATAAACTTTGCTTAAAAATGGAACATTTATTAGAAGTTGTTTAAAAGGAGTAGAATGACGAGTAAGGGCAACGAGTAAAGGCAACGAATAAAGTCAACGAGTAAAGGGAAGGAATAAAGGCAACGAATAAAAGCAACGAATAAAGGCAACGTGTAAGGGCAACGTGTAAAAGCAACGAGTAAAGGCGACAAGTAAAGGCAACGAATAAAGGCAACTAGAGTGAAAGGAAGGGCAAGCAAACGATGATCAAAACAACGAGTAAAGGCATCGAGAAGCACAAACCTAAGACGAGAGATCAGAGTTTGACAACTGAGATTTCTTTTTATAGTCTTAAATTACATATTTTAGCTAAGTTTTTAATTAATTAAAAAAATACATGTTTTAAAATAGAATATATATAAATATATACATATATATATATATAATATATCACGTTTTTTTCCCTTATAATTTCCTGGCACTATAATATAATAATAAGCTAATATTAACTACTTTGAGTGGACATAAACCCCAAAAAAAGAATGGGAAAAGTATAAAACCCCCCCAATTGCTCTTTTTGCTTGCATGTATTTCACCTTTGGCAGGTTTGCCACATTTAACGTCGGAAGCACACACACAGAGCTGCCAGCGGGCAAAGTGAAAACCCTTTTAATAAAGCAGCGAATAAATAATTAAAGTGCAACGGGTCGGATACGTGAAAGAGTGAAAAAAGCTAGTAAAACAGGGGACGAGAGAGCTGAACTCCTTCTCCAGTTTTTCACTTCTCCCCCTAAGAACCCCCTTTCGGCCATCACTCTTTGCCTTGTTTGTGTTTGGTCAATTCGAGTGTGAAAATGTTTTCGAGCTTCTGCCGTCGCCCGCTTGTTTACACTTGATGAGAACGTAGGGGCGGGAGGGTTGCATTTAACGACCTTGGGAATGTGCAGTGCGGGGTGGGTGGGGTGGCAGAGGCTGCATTCTAGTTTTCCTGTTCGTTTCTTTTTTCTTTTTTTTTTGCTAACAGTGCGCCGACAGCGTTTTCCGCCTTTTGGCATTTCAAAATTTTCCTTTTTTTGACATTTTTATGCGAAAGTTAAATTTCCCTCAGCCGGGCCCCCAAGGCGAGACAAGAGACCTTCGTCATCATCATGGGGCCACTCCCTGCCTCTGCCCCTGCCCCTGCTTCGTCACGCCTACCCCTCCCTTGTCCCGCCTCTGTTGTTGCACAAGTCACGGCAATTATGAAAAGGGGCAAGCTCGGCGCACTTGAACTTGAACCCACGAAGGCTGCCCACAAGCGGCAAAACAAAGCGAGATGGCGACCTCGGCTCCCTCTCAGGGGTTTTGGGTGGTTTCAGGGGGAGGGGGAGGTCCAGGATACCAGGATATATGGGTCTAAGTCAAGGCTAACTTGCTAATTCATATGTTTTTGATAAGAAGATTTAAACGACAGTTTAGGCAATATGAAAATGTTTTAATATATTTTTCAAAGAATATTTAAACAAATTAAATATTTTTTAAAAATAGAAAAGCTAAAATCCTTCAGTGATAAGTCTTCAAAAAGTTGACCAATTATGAGAATGTAGTTGAAAATTAAACAATCAAAGCGAGCAACGGATGGATGGCCCCCTTTTGGCGCCCAGTTTGAGCAGCTATCATTGGGGGCTTTTTCAAGTGCAGAACGGGAAATATCGATTGGTTAGTTTGCCAGGAGCAGAGCAGCATGACCATCGGCGGAGGCCAAAGCACACGCATACAAATTTGTTTCGTTGCAACGAAGTCGTCTCCATTCCAGTGCGTCCCCTTGCCACCACCTCGATCATTGTGGAAAACAGATTTTCACGTTCTATTGCATCTCCTTCCGGACCCTCCCGGACCATTTGTCAGACTGCCAGGCAGGCAGGCAGGACAGGCAGTGCCTTCCACGCACCTCAGGTCCTTGCCGAGGTCCCTTCGGGTCCTGTTCCCCGCATTAAATATTCATCTACTTCGTCATCGTCTGTCGTCCTTCGCTGTCATCGTCCTGGTAATCGCAAATTCAGCGCTAAATCACAATCAAAATGTGCGTAAAGTGGCATTTCAAGTGATTCTCCTCCGTTTTTTTTTATGAATTTCAAATTGCAAATCATTTTGTTGATTAAATTGTTGAAAATGGGCGAGTAAATTTGTATTTCTTGTGGCCTTACCTTGTGTTTATACACAGGTACTCGGCACGGGAGAGGGACAAGAAGGCATTTCCAACTTTATAAAGTCTTAATCATATTAATCGGCCTCATCAGGCGCATAGATTTAGACAACTTAAGCTGTGTGCATGAGAAAACAGATCTCAAAGACTTTAAGATGAACTTTCTAATGAGTTATAAGTATCATCAACTTTGAAGAACCGAAAGTTTACATATGTCCAAACCTTTTTTTTTAACATATTTAAAATGCATTTAATTGTAGTTAATTTTAATAGTAGTATTTCCTGTCTGAATTTCCCTATAATTAAGGCTACACAAATTATCCATTAGAGTAATTTAAAATTAATTGCCAAAGTATCGATTGAAAAATAACACCAACTAAAAGCACTCACATTTCTTTTTGCCTTGAGGACACGAATGCATTTTTATACCCTTGCAGGGTATTATAATTTCAGTCAGAAGTTTGCAACGCAGTGAAGGAGACGTTTCCGACCCTATAAAGTATATATATTCTTGATCAGCATCAACAGGAGAATCTTTCTAGATATGTCAGGAAGAAATCGATTTTTTGGCCATTTTTGCAAAATTTTCTAAGGGGTTACATCATTAAAATTTTGGATTTTGATAAAAAATTGAATTTTCCAAATTTTTAAATGAAGTATGCAGATTTATTCACTGTAGAAAATCTTGCACAGAACTGTTTTCCGATTTAAAATTAATGCTCTTTTGGCCGAGTTATGATATTTTTAATTAAAAAAAAAAAAAAAAAGAAGTTTTTTAATATAAAAAATCCGATTTTATAATACAAAATAATATTTTTCTAAGTCAAGGAATCATTTCCGACCCCATAAACCATATATATTCTTGATCAGCATTAACATGCGAATCTTTCTAGACATGTCCGGAAGAAATCGATTTTTTTGCCAATTTTGCGAAATTTGATAAGGGGTTACATCATTAAAATTAGCAAAAATGACCAAAAATTTTGATTTCTTAAAAATTTAAATTTGGTATGCAGTTTTTTTAAATTAGTAAAAACTAACACAAAACTGCTTTCCGAATCGAAATTAATGCATTTTTGGCTTAGTTATGATATATTTTAATTGTTTTGGCTGGCCAAAGTTAGCTTTCTTTGTTGTTATTCTTTCCGATTTTCCAAAAGGTATATAGAGTTAGGGAAAGTGTGAAAACTAATGCATGCTGGTGAAGTGTGTGGGAAATGAATAAACAAGGAGAAAGAGAACCGAGGCTGGCGACTAAGTGAATTATGTCTGCAAAATGATTTTTTCTTGTTACCCAGCTTTTCGCAGAATTTTCTCGTTTTTCCATTCGGTTGACACCTTTGCATACGTTTCCACGTTTTCTTTCTTTTTTTCTACGAATGCATCTGCTGACTGTCGGGTGAGAGTACTTTTTGTTTTTACTTTAAATTTGCAATTTAAATGTAATTTCTCAGCGCAAATGGGTTACTTTTATTTGGTTTATGACAAATGCACACCCAGGCAAAACGCTCAGACTTAATGCTTTCCGACATGAGTGTGTGCGGTTCGAGGGCTGAAAGGGGTGATGTGTGTGGGTGTATGTGTTCCTCTGAAGGTTATGTATGTTCCCATGTGGGGTTTATGAAAAGGAAAAAGACGTTGAAAACAATATATATAAGCACTATGGAAGACACCACAAATCTGTGCTAAAAGTATTATTTTCTCTTGCCAAGGATGCATTGAAAATCGCGGCAGATAAGCCTTTGCAATATTTTAGTTTCTTCCAGAAGTTTTAAGCCAATTGTTATTGTTTTCACGGCGATGTCGCCATCTGGTAGCAGCTGTTTTCCCCTGGGCTTTTCCCACTTTGAAGTTGTTTAATGGCCGGTGGAAAGCGTAACAAACCATTAACAAAATGCCTTTGGCGCCGGGCACACGATGCATTTTCATCATAGCCGCTTTTTCTATTTTGTGGGTGTCAAGCGATTGCCTAGAGGATCTGTTGGGGAGTAGGGGTAAAAGTCCCTACTTTCCGCTGACGGAGGATCAGGCAAGAATCTTTTTAGTGACCCTCTTGGCCCTTATGTTCCTGATTCTGATGGGGTGTTTGGGTGAGTAGAAGTTTTGATCACAGCCATTGCTTTGATTAACTCATCCTTTTTGGACAGGATGTCTTTGGTGCTACTGCCGGACCTGGCAAGCTATGGCTTCCACACCGGATGGCCTTGATATTTATGCCCCACGTACCCAGAGTATTGTGTGGCCCAGTCTGCCGCCGGACACCGTAAGGATAGGGGAGCTGCAACCCAAGTCAGGGTGCCTCTGCCCCAACTGTCGCCGCAGCAGGATTTCTGTGTATATCGAGAACTGTGGGGTAACCACACAGTGTATGTAAGATTCTCTGATTCTGTGTAGCTCATTGTGAATGAATTCATAAACAAAAACTGCATTTTTATCAAAGTAAATAAAGAAAATTCCCCTTTCTTTTAAAACAATAATAAATATTATTGAGTAACTTACATTTTATTTATTATTATTATTATTTGTTGTCGATATGTTTTCTCTCAAACAGCTGTTTGATATCCAATTGAGCAGGCATCGATCGGCAATGTGCAAGTCGCGAGTGTTCAGTTTTTTCAGTTGCATTGGAACAATCGCGGCAGCACCATGCCTCTTTCCTCGCTGGGAATTGCTGCCAGGTGGCTGTTGCTTACGGCGGCCCTGATCACCTTCCCCCACCTGGCCAAAGCCGATGACAACTTGGCTGGTACGGAGATTGGTTTGATTATTTATTTTAAATCTGTATTTTTATGCATTCCCGGAAAGGCTTCGACTGGATGAACGAGACACAGCTGTTGGCGATGTTCGAGTATGAAAACAGCACTGAGGAAAAAGTCATGGAAAGCCTTTCTGTTGGGAAAACCGATAGTGAAACCGTTGGCGAAACTATTGGTAAAACCATTGGTGAAATCGTTGGTGAAAGCCTTTGGTGAATCTGCTTCTTTATGCATTCTCGGAAAGACTGGCTGAACGAGACACAGCTGATGGCGATGTTCGTGTACGAAAACAGTACTGAAGAAAATGTTATGGATGTCGAAGTGGATGTGGATGAATCGTTTGAAAGCCCTACTGTTAGCAAAACTGATGGGGAAACCATTCTTGAGGCCTTTGGTAAACCCGTTAGTGAAACTCTTGGTGAAACCATTGTTAGAACTGTTGGTGAAACTGTGGGTGAAACTGTTGGTGAAATCTTTGGTGAATCCATTGGTGAAACTGTTGCTGAAACTGTTGGTGAAACTGTGGGTGAAACTGTTGGTGAAATCTTTAGTGAATCCATTGGTGAAACTGTTGCTGAAACTGTTGGTGAAACTGTGGTTGAAACCGTCGTTGAAATCGTTGATGAAACCGTTGTTATGAAGAGCAACGGAAGCAGCAATATGGACTTTCCATTCGAAAAGCTACGCCACCATCGATATTATTCACGCATTGTCTTCATGATTATCCTTTTGCACGTTTCTGTTGTTGGAGTTTGTAAGTTGACATTTTTATTTTTAAATTAAGAACATTATCAATTGAAATAGGTTTAGTTAGCCGAGTTAACTAAGTTCCTATTCGAAATTGTGTGTTTGCAATATCAGAGCTTTTGTTTGTTAAAATTATTGTTAAATTATTATTTTACTAATACTGGGTTTATAGATTTTTTATGCGAAATTTAAAACATAAACTTTGAAGTAATTGGAACATTTTAATAATAATTAAATTAAGTTGAGTTTAATTGTCATTAAAAAGTAATATTATTCCCTCTAGGTATCACCATCTACAGCCTGGTTTACTGCAAGATGAAGACCCTGAAGAGGCTCCAGCGAGCGAGAGCCCAACGATGCCTGCGACTGATGAACCTGCAGTCCCAGCACGTGCCCAACTCCAGAGAGTGCCCCTGCTCTGGCTGCACTATAGCCAGGGACATGCTGCAGGGCCTGATCCTGCAGCAATTGCACGAAATGGTCGAATGTTGAGGGAGGAAGAGAATTGATTTACAACGAAGTAAATGCACAATTTCCATGCATGAGTTTGACAGGTGAATGCATAGCATTCACGTGGATAAAACACTCGAAAAAAAAACTAAATAGAAATATATTTAATTACAAAAGTAATTCCGACAAGAAATGGGTATTTTTCTGTAAAGAAAATCACACAATTTCAACATTGGAAATAATAATAATCGCAGTTTCTGAGAATAATTGTAATAAACCGATTGTATTTTTATAATGAAACAGAAAATTCAATACTTCAAGTTAACCAAAAGAGCGCTTTCCTTTATTATTCCAGGAAAACTCGCATTTTTTATTATGTTTGCAATCTGATTTGCTCTTCATATGTTGCATAAGGGCAAGCTTCCCTTGGTGGAGCTTTACGCTTAAATGGACACAAATGTAAATGTCTGTGTTAGCCACAAACAACTAATACAATCAGCCTTGCTCACTTTCACACACACATGCAGAAGAGAAAGTAGCCAAGCCCATTCATTGGCAGTTGCATTGTCTGCAACGTGGAGAGAGAGAGAGAGAGAGTGGGGGAAAGTGTGACATGCACTAGCAGTTAAACAGCTTATTGCTGTAGTCCTGGCTACCCGCACCCCCCCATTTGACACCATGACCAGCCGCAATGCGAAGGTCAAAGTTCATAGCATTTGCTTTCACTACCCCCTAGACCACCCCCCCTGGCTTAATCCCGCACGTTTGCATTAATAAATACAAGTAATCCATTTTGCCTTCACTTTGTTCACTCTTTGCTAAACAATCGGAGTAATCATCAACTTTTGTTGGGTTAAGCTGAACTTTGACTGCAGCAGGCGGAAGGGTCATGATATATATATATCGTATAAAAGGATACATTTAATATTGATTTCAGGAAAGAGTGAGTGTACACATCAACACAGTGAAATTTGAGACTCCTTTGGGTTTACCTATGACTTGTTAAGCTTTTATTTAGATTGCAAACTAAATACATAAATAAATGTTACAGTCAATGTCTAATGTTTGTTTTCACGATTTCTTACATTTTCATACAAATTAATACCACAAGTCTACCATTTTTAGTTTAAATATTATTTTGAAATATTTTTTATCTTTTAAAAACATACCTCTAGGTTCTAAATATTATCAATTTCCATTTAATCCCCCGCAACAACTTCCTGCGAGGACGATAAGCCAACAACTCAAAGAGATTGCGTATACGCCCTGGTTGACACAATTCACTTACAAATCCATCAGGATGTTTTAAGGATGCTTTAAGTCAGTGGGTTTTTATTTGATCTTTGTTTTTATATTTACAAAATAATGATTTTCATCTAAATATATTTTTTTACTTGTAATTTCTGACCTTTCAAGGAAATTTCTACTACAAGTCTACCTTTTTATTTTGAAATATTATTTAAACACATGTTTCAATATTTAAAAACTTCCCTCAAATTCCTATATATTATCCATTTGCCACTTAAGCCCCCGCAACAACTTCCTGCGGGGGACGATAAGTCAACAACATTGCGTATACGCCCGGGCTGACACAATTCAGTCACAAATCCAGCCATCCATCAGGATGTGGCTTTAAGCCTAATGCACTGGGATCCCACGAATGTGTCACCGATCACCGATTTTGTGCCCGCTGCTCGCTGATGTTTTTATTGTTATTTGATTGCGATTTAAATGTACACACGAACGGAAAGGCGCCCCCGAGCAAAGGACAACAATAACAACAACAAAGAGCCGAAAAAAGAGAACGCCAAGAATGAGCCTGAGCCTGAGCCCTGGCAAACACGCACAAAACACGGACAGACCAATGCCAAAAGCCCGTATGAAACCGAAGGAAACAACGCACGTTCATGCCGAACAGGAAGGAAGGCAGGCAGGCACAAGGCGTACAGGAAGAAGGAACAAAAAGCGACAACGAAGGCGGAGGCAGGACCCTGCTAGAGCAAGGAAGAGTGCGCGTCAAGGGCAAGGATGCTAAGGTAGCGAGAACAACGAGAGCAGCCGCAGCAATAACTATAACAAAAGAACCGAAATCTACAGTAGAACTTGGTTACGTTAATTGACAATAAATTATTTAAAGTTTTCTTAAAAGAATTAAATATTAAATTGTAATGGAAATCCCTATAACAATTCTTACAGCAATGAAATAGAGTAAAGCGCAAAAATCTCTTACCTAAGGACAGGTGTACCTGACCCATTAAGGAAGTCCTTACTGTATAAGACAATAAAAAAAAAAAAAACCCCGACATAGACATTCCAATAACAATGAGCCAAGAAAGCGAAGGCGAATCCTGCGGAGAGCGAAAGCTGGGCAAAACTTAGAGGAAAAGGAGAATAGCATAAAAAGTAGTAAAAAGTTATCGGGTCTAAAGGAAGATGTCGTCCTCCTCAGCGGGTGGAAGCTGGAATTAATTTTGCGTTCATCTACGCTCGGCTTGAGCGGAGACCCAAGAAGAGAAGGGTTTCGGTTCGGGTTGGTCTAGGGCCAGAACTCTTGGCCAACTTGTGGCAAATATTTGCTCAGACCTAAGTATCCATTCTGGCCGGAATTGGATGCACCTGATGCCCGGGTCTGACGTGCACATGCAAATTTATTGATCAATATAGTGAGATAATGAAAATTACAGTTCCAATCAACTTTCAATTTCAGTTTAATCCGGACATCAATTGTGGGAACCATTAAGGAGAAATTTGAACAGTAATTCAAGTGACAAAATATGTTTTAGCTAGATTAAAAATAAGGGTTTTAGCTTTAATTACAAAAGCCGCTTTCGACAAACCTGATTTCCGGTTAAAAGAAAGTTAAGATTATAAATTAAGAAATAACTTTAATTCCTTATTTAGTATTGAGAAGAGTTCAATTGCCTGTTTTGTAAACATTTCTCCCTCAAGGTTAACAAAGGTCTTACTCATGAACTTTTAAGTTAAAGAAAGTCTGGTTCATAAATAAATGAAATTGAAATATTAAATATGAAATACTAAAGATCTCATTACGTTTTAAGCCAATTATAATGAATACTTCCTTATTTTTGATCCCTTAATCACTTAAAAGCTGCTTCTTAGAATGCTTTTAATAATACTTATGTTTTCTTAGCCTTGTTGCCGCGCTCTTTAATTCGCTAAAACTTTCCCGAAAAAGTATGCTACGAGGCAGTGCAGTTCGTGGGAATTTTCATGGCCATTTCCAGCAAATGGCCATCTGCTCGCTTTGAGTCTCCGGTGGAGCAGAGTCAGAACTGTCAGCTCGGATTGAGGCTGGTCAGTGTGGGCTGTAATCAGGCCGAATTAACGGCAAGTTAACCAGACAATGCAGTTATCCGAGCGTTGGCAGCGACGTCCTGTCCTGGGAGCGATGCAACGGGATCTCGCTTAATTAGGCCCCGTCGGAGCCCACCAGACCTTGGGGCGTGTATTGGCTTTAATGTCACTCTACTCCCGTCAGTTTTTAATTGTTTTAAATATTAACTGGCGGTGGCAATGGCACACACAAGGCCCGAAGGACACTCCCACCAATACAGCAGCAGGCAAACACACACTCACACACCCATGCGTACACAGAAGAGTTTTGCATTACGCGCGACTTACACAATTAAGAACTTTTGCCTCTTCTATGGGACTTTCTTCACTTTTTCGCACTTCTAGCACTTGTCCGAGGAGGATCTTAACTCGGCCTGGAAATATTACAGCGATATTCACACGACTTTGCTCTTTTTTTCCCACAAAAAACACAACGTTTGTTCTTGTTCAGTCTGCTCCCGTGGGTGGATCGAAGGGTACGTACGGCTGCTGGCCACAGGAGCGTCCAATTTGGCGGACAATTCGAAAGCAACTGAATGCAAAACGGAAGCCAGCGGGCCAGGAAGCGGATTGCGAGAATCCAGCTGCGAAAAATGAAAAGCGAGCGCTTTTCGCACTCGGCAAGCGTGAGCGAGAGCGGAAAAAGCTCACTATCGCCGAGCCGAAGCTCTCCTCCCACGCTCGCTTGCCATAAAAGTTTATGGCAGCTGCTGGGCGCTGCTTTTGATTTGCAATTTGATTTACGGCCCCCTGAGGGAGGTGCGATGCTTTTTGAATAGAGGTGAAGGAAGGGGTAATAACGCCGGAAGCACTGAGAGCAAATTAACCTGAATCGAGTAAGTAATGGTAAAAAGAAATATGGTGACGATAATGCCCTGTAAAATATAGAATTAAGTCCTAAATTATGGCGTAAATATAAATATGATCCTAGATTTCAGCGAGTAAATAAGGATTAAAACGACGAGTAAAGAGTATGAGTTAGAGAGCAAATCGACGAGCAAAGAAGACGAGTACGAAAACATCATTATACATATATAATAATAATTATATATGAAGTATCATATGAAGTATTATCATTATACATATATGCAGTATAAATTAATATAATTTATTGTTTAAATTCGAAAAGCAAAAGAGTCAAACTATTCTATTTTCTATTATTTCAATCACTTTACTTTCTTCGACTTTTAGGCTTTTTAATCTAAAGATTAACGTGTATTTTTAAGACTTTCCAAATCTCCTTTAGCTGATTAATATCCAAGTAGATCACTCTTTCTCTCAGTGATTGGCAGGCAATGATGCATCTGTGAGCTTTCAATCCTTTATGCCAGTGTTTCAGTACTGTCAATTAGTCCTTGAACAATAACTCACTTAATTATAGGTATGCGGTTGTGTGTGTTTCCCACAAAATGTTCATTGAAATGCAATTCATTTGCACATTTCGGTGGGTGAAAGTCTATTATAATTCAATTAAAAAACCTAACTGAGTAAAAGAGCAAAAACCAAATGGAAGCTAGCCATAGTTTTCTTTCTATAACTGCCAGTTTTACCTTGTAAACATCACCTGCACGCTGTCGGTCGATAGTTTTTCCCTGCGTTCGGTTTAAATTTTCCAGGAAAGAATAGCAAAAACAAATAAAAGGGGACAAACTCAATACAGACACATCGAACCGATGGCCAGGCGACCTTCACACGCACACAGTCACAGTCACAGGACACGGGACACAGGACACGATACGCAGGAAGCCGGAGAAAAAGCTGCCTCGACCTAGACACTGAAACACTGAAGCATTAAGAGAGAGTGAAAGCGGCGAGAGAGCGATTTCCCGACGCTCCGGGCGATACATTTATTTGTCCATGTGTTTGAGCTTAGCAGAATCAAAAAGAAACGGAAGTGGGTGGTGGAGGAGAGGACCGCGAGTGGGCACTAGGAATCCCAAACAGGGTAAGCCGCTTACAACAGATCTCGGTTGAACTAATGGAATGCGACAAAGAGAAGTTACAAAGAGTTTCCCCCCTTTTAAGTCGCATAGTTTCCACGCAATTTGTGCAGTTTCCATGGCCCCAAATGCAGAATCTCCTTTGTTTATATAAAGTTTTTTTTTCATTCCTTTTCTTCATTTCCCGGTACCGCTTATCTGTTGCGCGATTTTTCATTTCGCTGCATTTCCGCAAGCTGCTAACACCATTATTGTTGTTCCTGTCCCCCAGCTCCTTGTCAATGCTTGCCCCACAGTCGTTGTTGTTGTTGTGCCAGGTTATGAATGAAAAGCTTTTTCAATTCAGCTTTGGTCGGGTCCTCGGGCCATAACACGATTGCCTTTTTCACAGCTCGTGTCCTTTTAATGTTTTCTTTGGGAGCAGGGGAAATAGTGTTGCTGGTGAATACAATCTGGCTAATCAGAATGTAGTCGTATTATGCTATATTAACAGATTTTTATGCCAAAAATTAGCCAGCAGAGTTAATATATAATATATTTCTTACGCAATGTGAATGATATTTTTGCCATGTTGATTTTATTTGTTTCAGTCAATCGTTTGTTTAAGAGATAGTAAATACCTTTACCAAAGAGAGCAGTTATTAAATTTGAGAAATTTTCAAATCTATATTATAAGTAAGATACTGTTCCCATTCCTGATTCCATAAATTTACACTCAAGATCTGCTTAGTGGTTCTGGTCTTGGCTAGTTTTAAGAGAAAGCTTTTCGAAAACTTGCTCTCTCTAATGCTCTTTCCTCCCCGCTTACTAGAGAGCGTGGGCGAGAGAGCGCGAATAACCGTTATGATGCTGCGTCAGCTGTTGGCTGCGATCAGCTGACGGTCAAGCAAGAACCTTTTTTGCAAATGGCGAGCGCGAAAGGGACAGCGCCAGAGGGTGGATTGAAGCGGCATGCAAAAATAAATAAATTAATAAAAAAACAGAATACAACAAAATAATTGGTCGACTGTGTGCGTGCTGCTGCGATCGCAGCGTCGCCCCGATCGCTGCTCATAAATAAAAAGCCGCTTTATGAACCACTCGCCGGCCAGTGTTCGCTTTGGCATGAAATGAAACTGTCGCCAGCTACTCGCTTTTTACTCGCAGTGCCTCGCCAGAATAACTATCTATCAGTCGCGCAATCGAGTCGATGCATCCAAGTCGCGCCTTGTTGCTTACATAAAGCCCAATAATAAAATCAATTCGAAATTCCAAAACTACTTGAACTAATTTGCCTACATTAGAGCTGGCCGAAATGAGTGTCGAAAGGTAATAAAAAGCAAATCAAAACAAAGCAAAAAGCAAAAGTCGTATTGTGTTAAACACTGTGTCCACTGCTACTCATCATCGGCAGTTTTTTTGTGTGAATTTTCTGTCTGGCCAGCTAAAAATACCCCCTTCGACTTTAAACCCCAGAGCGACGCCAGTATAAACAAGTTTTTGATTTTTTGATCGGATTCATTAGAAGTGCTTCGTAATGCCTGTGTTGCTAGGGTCCAGCCATTAGGTTGCCGCCGGTCCTCTTAAGTACTCCTCACCTCGCCGAGATTAAGCCCAAAAAACCACACAGGGCTTGTTTTTTGTCAGCCATCGATAAGGCACAAATCCAATGCCAACTCATAGTCTGGGACTCGGTTTGTGGCATCTCTTATCGCTGGAGCAAAGCTAGCTCCCTGTATTCAGTGATCAATGAATGTTCCTAGAAAATATAGCTTTTTCCGCTTGAATACCTCTCTTTATTTAGTAGTTACTTCACTATATATTAGTAAACAGATTAGATAGTGTGGGGTACTTACCAGACAAAACACGTGTTGAACGAAAGCAAAAGTTCAGTTTTCCTGATTTCGACTGGGTTTTTGCATTGTTTTTAATATTGTTTATAGGCTTTACACCTTCTAACTTATCGCGTTTCATGATGACTGGAAAACTGAAACTTGTCTAAGGTGATTAGGGGCATCAATCAACAAATCAGCAAAGCAATTATCAGGCTAATGCTAAACCAGTAGCTTTTGCTTGACATTTAAAGTTTCGTGTAGTTCCTGTATTTTAAAGCCTTTTTAAGCAACCTAAATACCTAATTGAAGTTTGTAATTTTTGCTAATTGCTTAAAGACATTGATTGATTTCAAATTACTTTTTGATATTACTTTCAGAAAGTTATGAAATTGAATTTTGGCCAAGGGCTGGTTCTTTGGGTTGCTTCTGGGAAATTCCCTGCTAATTGGTTTGGTTAACCTGTCCATGATAAGCCTTGAGCTTCCGTTTCGAGTTACTCTGCTTAACCAGCTACCGAAATTCGCTACGGTTTTTAATTTCTTATCTTATCTTGCCTGGATTTTGGTCTAACAATTAAATTCAGTTTAGTTATTACGTATACGCCGGGTGGGCGGAACTTAATACCATGCCAACCAAGCCAGTGATGAAATCAATCCTTGATTGGGTGGCATCATCATCAACAAAGAGGCCCCTCAATTAAAAGCAACCATTTGTTTACTGATTGTTTCATGGAAGTCTGCTGCCGCATTCACCATAAATTATCTAATTTGTGGTGTCAACAGCGGGCAAGCATTTCAGTTTATAGAACTGATAGATAGATAGAGAGTCGTGCAGGCGACTTTTTCAATTCACACATTGGCAAATTGATGGACAGCAAATACCCTTGGACTTCAGTCACGCCGACTGAATGTGATTGTGGAAAGTTTGCCCTACGAGGCTAATGAATCCTTATGATCTCGTTAATCGTTGAGGCAATTTCTCCGAATTTAAATCAGACAATGGAAACCTGTTTGCTGTGGTACATTGAACCAGCTCCCTGACATTATCTTTTGCACTTCCTTAATCACAAATCGCAGACGATTTCTCAGGGCGATAATATTAAGTTACTGCCTGGTATTGTTTATGTCCATTGTTTGCACATATTTTGGTCACAAAATAGAGTTGATCCAACTTGTCAGGCGTATCACGATTAACCCATATCCATATAAGGTGTGACCAATGTCTGTGAGTGAGTTTTAGGTGTTCAAGGTTTGCAGTTTAGTAGATCAATGACAATTCATAGAGGAAGTGGCGAATATTTGAGGCCTATTTTGGGCGAATTTGGCAACAAAATGATTTTTTATAAAGAAAGTTTGCCAGCGGTTCATTCAACGTGACTCCAAACTGACCTTGTCAGGCGTTAAAACAAAAACATTAACATTATTTAAGCAGTTGAAATACACAAAACAAAAGCTCAGCAAAGACAGAGCGAGAGAGCGAAACGCTGAGTATTTTAGTTGTATTTTTTCTTCATTGTTTTTCTTATCTCAGCGCCAAAACAAACTGAAACACGCACAGCTGGTTTTTTGAAAACAGTGACGTAGGCAGCTCAGCTCTCCCGCGTTTTCTTATCACTCTTTCGACGCTCTCGAAGCTTTGCTTTTGCCGGAATGAGTCAATACAAAATTGGCTGGGATTAAAGTGCAACAAAAAGCGTAGAAAAAAGGGTATTGGATCGATTAATGCAATTATTGTACAAAAGCCCAGGCCAGCAGTGGCCATGAAAATGACCAATAATTGCCAATTGTCAGGGCCCATTAGGCGGAAAATATATTATATTGGCATACCTTGACAACAAATAAAGCTAGTTAATAATGAAGTATTTTGAATTACAAAAAAGTATTTAACATTTAGCAGACTTAAAGGGCATTCCTTTTATGTTGGGGGTTATCTTATCAAGAGGGGAAATCGGTTTCTTATAGCTTTATGACGTCTTATTAGTAAAGCTACGTTTTTTAACACCTCTAAATTTATTACTTATTTTCTAAGCATTCTTTTCTTAAGATTTTTTGTTTTAATTAACACTTTCTTTGTGCTTTTACAGAGATGAGGAGTATCTCAAATTCGTGCCCCACACAATGTCCTATCATGTGGTGCCAGGCGCCGAGTTCCAATGCAAACTGGGCAATCACCACAATTCCAGGAAACTCTCAACTATCGACGAGCAGGACTACGATGTGGCCAATAGAAGAGGCATGATAAATCAGGTGAGTTGTCTTACAAATATTGGAGTTATTATAGATTTACAGAAAAATATTATACAAAATTTATTTGAATTTAAAGTGGTCAAATTTCGGTCTATAATCTTGTCAGTCGCTTGTCGAACATCTCCGGGGCTTGGTCAAGACATGCGTGCCTGACAGATACTAAATATTCCATGAAGGACAAAATGATAAGATACGCAATTGAACTTTCTTCACGGCATGATTATGGAAACACTTCTGTTCTTTAGGGGGGCTACATGTGGCGGACATGTGATGGCAGCGTTAGCTCGGGAATTGAATCGAATGAAACGCCAGAGCGAATGGCACGGAATGTCATTCAATTTCAGACTCGAATTGAACTAGGGGGCATTTCATAAAGCAATCAATGGGCGGCGATCGCAGATCGTTTGCCACTATCATCAGCGCACAAATCAAAATAAAGTCGCCCGTGATGCAATATTGCAACTTCAATTGAAGGCAATTGCTTGGCAGATGCGGCAACATTAACGCCTTTATGGGTAGATTTAATTATATATACTATTACATGGACTGGGGGAAAATGTCTTAGGTCTTACAGGAAGGAAAATATGGAAAGAAATAAACTATTAAGCACTAAAATTATAAATTATCCTTAAGATACAGTGCTAAATCAAGATCTCTTCTATTAATATTTTCTACTATTTTATATTTTTTAACCTTTTTATTACAGATTCTAGCCACTTGTGCTGTTCTGCTGCTCTCCGCTGGCTGTGGCATGCCCATTGGCTTCTCAGCTGTCCTGCTGCCTCAGCTGATGGATGGCAATAGCACGGAGATACCCATTGATGTGGAAACAGGCTCCTGGATAGGTAGGTTAACTAATCCCTCAAAGTGACTTATAATTTACTTATTTTCCTTAAATTCCTCTTAGCGAGTGTCCATAGTTTGGCCACTCCGTTTGGCTCCCTGATGTCCGGACCTCTGGCAGACTACTTGGGCAGGCGGAAAACCCTGCTGGTCTCAGTACTTCCCCTCTTCTTCGGCTGGAGCACTTTGGCCATGGCCAAGAGCATCAAGATTGTGATATTCGCAAGGTTCCTTTGCGGCTTTGCCACTGGAATTTTGGGTGGACCCGGCCAGGTGAGTGGACTTCGTAGAAATTCATGGCCATTGGCCTGTGGTTCGTTCACACGAAACAAACGCATAAATAACCCGGAACCGTAAGACGTGACACAATCCAGGTTTGTCCGAGTGACCCATTAACCGTAATCGCAGAGAGCCCTGAACTCCTGTCCAAAAAAGAGCAGCGCTGACAGGTGGACAACAAATGTTCAATTGTCCACTTGACGCTCACCCATTGTTCCGGCTCTTCTCTGGTCGGTTCCATTGTGTGTACGCTATGCCGGCGGCTCTGCCCTGTTTATTTCTGTTTATTATTTATCTTATGGATATGTCCGTGACTTATCTTGCGGCCAAAGTGATAGCAACGCGCAGCTTAAATCGTCGACGGCGTCATCACTCCGGTGTCCGGTGACCGGACTTTAAATGGCCAGCGCATCATTTGCATTAGCAAAAGCTTTCCGCACACACACGGGCGGCATTATCCGCATAGTAGTTCCGGATTCTTGACCTTAGTCTATAATGGAGGGGGATGGAATTGTAGTGAGTGTGGGGGTTGGGTCGGGTCTAGCCGGGTGAATGGGCGTCGACTTGTTGCGCGTGTTCCCCCGGCGAGTTTCGTTTTCATTAATGGTTTGCCCGACTGCCGCCTGCCATGATTTACGATTTTATGATTAGCATCCAAGAGTTCCCAGAGATTAAGATGTTGATGCTGTTGCGGGATGTGACCCTCAAATAGATCAGCTTGTTTTGCTGGCGAAAGTTCGCCCAGGGGGGTCAGGGTTAAGTCATATCAGAAAGTAATTTTCATTTGGCACAGGAGCGGGGACTTCTATCCAGCTTTTGATTGAGATGAGAAACCTTATATTATAATTAATAGGTTGATGCTTTTGTGACCCTCAAATAGATGAAATTGTTGTTTGGAAGAGAGGGTTCCTTTTGCTAGGGGTCAGGGCTTAATTCTGGAGTGTATAAAAACACCAGATATGGGTTAGGAGGCTAAGATGAACGTCGTAGTTCCATTTAGATTGTTTCCAATTTATAATTAAGACAGTTATGCCTCTGTGACCCTCTATATTATGAAATTGTTTGTTTACACGTGTAAATACTACGAGGGTCGTGGGAAATTCGAAAAGGAAAATAGTTTTCTTCAGGGATTAACTACAGATATTATTTAGGATATTTCTAGAAGCTTACAATTACTTATAGGAAATTATATCACAGTATATCTTCCTCTCCCAGAAGCTACTAAAATCTTATTAAACCAATCTCCCTTTCCTCCCCCCAAGGTCTACATTGCTGAAACAGCCGAGCCCAACTTGCGTAGCCTTCTTATTGGAGCTCCCTATGTGGCCTACTCCTGTGGCATCCTCCTAGTCTACTCCCTTGGCTCTATGATGTACTGGCGCAGTGTGGCCTGGTGTGCCAACATACTGCCCCTGCTGGCCGTCGTGTCCATCTACTGCATCCCAGAGACACCAGCCTGGCTGCTTCGCAATGGCTACGAAAAGCGGGCTCTCCAAGCTTTGACCTTCTTGCGTGGCAGCGAGATCAGCGCCCAAAAGGAGGCCAATGAGATGAAGCAGCGTCTGTCCAGGGAGCGGGCCACCACCAAGACCAATGAGAACATCTTCCAGCTGTGCTGCCAAAGGGTGGCCATCAAGCCGCTGGTCATTGTGATTGTCTTCTCCCTGCTGCAGATGTTCTCCGGCACTTTCATCGTAATCTTCTACGCCATCGACATTGTCTCGGAGTTTGGAGCAGATTTTGATACCAAGCAGGCGGCGATTTGGAGTGCTGCCGTGAGAGTCGTCTGCTGCATGGTCTTCTGTGCCGTTCTGATCTTTGTCCGCCGGCGCAGGATCATGGTGATATCGGGCATAGGCTCGGGCGCCTTCTGCCTGGCCTTGAGTGCCTACATGTACGCTCGAATGGGAGAGCCCAAAATGTCGTATGATGTTTTGGTGGCAGGATGCTGCATTCTGGGCTATATAGTATTTAATACAGCTTTAATGGTGATGCCTGGCATCATGATTGGTGAACTATTCCCGGCCAGAATTCGGGGGAGAACCGCCGGCGGTGTGTTCGCCTCGATGAACGTGGCTTTGTTTATCTTTGCCAAGGTATTCCCAGCCCTGCAGGCTTTCCTCAAGATACGCGGCGTGTTCCTGGTCTTTGGCATCTCCAGCTTCCTGCTCACCATATTCATGTGCCTGTTCCAGCCGGAGACCAAGGGACGTAGCTTGGACCACATCGAGGACTATTTCAACGGTGACAACTGGCTGTGGTTCCGGCGGGATCGTGGCTATAAAACTGTGAAATTACAGCCCCTGCAGCCACTCAAAGCACAAAATCCAGGGGCGGATGCCTAATCCTGGGGGTCCTAGTTTTAAATCCGGGCTGTTAAGATTCCATTTAGTGTAGCTAGTCCTTAGGCCTTAGTCTTAGTTCCAGCCGCAGTGCCTCGTAGTCGTTAAACTCGATCGATTTTCCAGTGACCGACAGGGAATCTTCAAATGTTAAGTTTTACTATTTCAAATTGTGATCGCTATGCTTTAAAATGTATCTACTTGATAATGAAAATTATGATTAGAAATAAAAATCTGATGAAATATGGGTGTTGGCTGTTTATGCTGATCAAAGAATATATGCAAATAATACCCTGCAAGAGGATAAAAAGTATATCCACAAATGTAAGTTGACCATTTTCGTAGCCTACCTTTAGGCTGTCTCATAAATAGTATTTTCTCAGCTTCTGATTTCCTCTCCAGAGATACGCCAACACCCCCGCCTGGCCATAAAGTGCAGGTATAGGGCTTATAGGCTATATATAGTATATCCAGCGATGAGTCGACACCGATTTTCTGCAAGGCAAACTCCGATTTTCGATCTCCGATCTCGAATCTGCCGACTGCTGAGACATTTCGCACCTTATTTGCCTTGGGCATTAGGCTAAAAGTGTGAATTGTTTATAAAGAGATTACAAAACCGAACACTGGGCGCTCAGTGGGCCGCAGTGTTCGACTTTTGCGCGGCCATAAAATCATAAAAAAAAGGCATCACTTTAAACGAAAATCGAAAAACCAAAGCGGGCCGAGCTGCGTTGAGGCGGATAATTGCAAAAGAAAGTTTTCACCATCGGCCTCGGCATAAAAGGGGATACCGGCTAGCCGGAAGCAAACAGTCGCCACCAGAGATCGCTACCAAAATGACCAAGTTTGTTGTGCAGAAGGCCCTCCTGCTGCTCTCCCTGCTCATCCTGGGAACGGTGCAGGCCCAGCCCCTGGATCAGGATCAGCATGTCCGGCAGGAACGTCAGCTAAAGGCAGCCACCGCCACGGATGCGGATGTCAAGATGGTGGCCAATGTTACGCCAGCCACTCAGCCGATGGGCATGGCCATGCCCATGCCCATGAATCAGATGGCTTTGAGTGCCGTCGGTGGCCAGCTGGTCCGGTATCCCAACTATCCGGGTCTGATCTACCCAGGACTAACTCCAGGACTTCCCACGGGTCCTTTGAACGGCCTCAATGGCATTCCCGGCCTGCAGACGAACATTGCCAACAACTATCCCTCGTATCCGGATCCCAATCTGGCAGGACAAGCACCCGTTGGTGGCTTTAATCCCTTTGGAGCTGGCTACGGTGGCTTTGGAGGCTATCCCGTGCCGCAACCCATCTATGGCGGCAACTCCCTGATGTATCCCAATACCCAGCTGCCCAACGGCTTTGTGCCACAGCCTTCGGTGGACAACTTCCAATCCCTGAACAGCATTGTCAACATGGCCAATGTCCAGGGCTTGGGAGGAGCCAGCTCGGGTCTGTATCCGGCACCTCAGCCCCTGCCCGTGCAGGTGAACATGCAGGGACTATATCCGCCAACCGGTGGCTTCCTGGAGCGCATGAACATGCAGGCCTATGCACCGGGATTCTAAGAGGGACATTCGGACCCTCTTTTACTCAATAAGCTAATTTATTTTATTTATTTAGCCAAATACACGAACATTTAAATAGAAAATCAGTGTGGGAAATTCATTTTCCTAGCCTCTGCGGTTGTATGGGGGTTTCCAGGGGAGTCTTTCCTGAGGGCTGCGTCTGGAGAGGATTTGGTAATCCCCTTTGCCCTTAAGGTTATGGTAAGAACCTCTTGGTTGCCACTTGGTTGCCAGACGCAGGCCAGCAGATGCCAAGGAGATCAGGAGCAGCAGCAGCAGCAGCAGCTTGGTGCCCATCTTGGCCAGAACTGGAGGCCACTCCAAGGCAGTGCCTGCTTTTATGCCAGGTGCCAGTGTGCCACTTCTAGATGAGCTGTCTAGACTTGTCCGCCAGTGGAAAGTAGGAAAAATGCAAGAACGGGTTTACGTCCATCACCTGGAGAGTCGTCGCCAATTAAGCAGCAGGTGTCAAGTGCAAGGTCCCTCCTCCACTCTTGCTCTCTTTCTCTCTCTCCAGCTAGAAACGGGGTCATTTTCGAAAGTGAAATGAACACGCTGATTTGCGCCCGCAGCGCCTTTGACATTTTTTTCCCCCTTCCACCGATTCTTCCCTGGAGATAAATATGTTTTGAGTGAGCATTTTCCACTCTCTCATACTCTGATTTACGATCCTCAGCTGGCAATGCACTTACCTGTTGGCGTACCTGGCTCATTGATAAGTCCGTTCCCAGGTAGTTGTTCTGTTGCTGTGGGTTAATCCGATAATGGTGTGTGTTCAGCTGGGCGGCAGAGAGCCGCCGGTATAAGAGCCCGGGTTGCGAGGTCAAAGTGCAGCAGTCTTGGGTGAGCAATTGGACCATGAACTACTCTGCGATAAGTCACACACTAGTGGGAATAACCTTCTGTCTGCTGTTGTTTCTTGTGGAGTTCTCCCAAGCCAGACCCTGGTGGAATGCAGCCGACTACGATCCCAGTCTGGATCCTGTGGCCTGGTCGAGGTCTTTTGTCCAGGATCAAGTTCGCAAGACACGCTACAACTACAATGTTATTCCGGATGTCATCAGGCCTAGAAGCAAGCACCGCCATCGGCAGACTGCTTCACAGATGTGGTACGAGAAGCCTCTGGCTCCAGCTGGCAAATACCACAAAAGGTTCTTCAGGCGGCGACCGAAACTAGCCTCACGTGAGAAATACTCTCGCTGGAGGCCATAACTATACACATTAGGTGCTAAGCAAATTTTAATAAACAAAAGACTTAAGACACAAACGAACTTATTTTTATTTTTAAAAGCCAAGTCAGGCATCCTGCCTTGCCCCGTTTAGCAGGAGTTCTTAGATCTCAGATCTGGAACATTGAGCAAACAACATCTAAGGTCATCGCCGATTTCAAGACCAAGTTGGTGGCGGCGCCACAGAAAACCTGGTAATCGGCGGGACAAACATGATGTAACCTATCGTTAGGCCCAAGCTAAAGACCTGAGCAAACCCAGCCGTTTGCCAACCCATCCCAAAAGTCTAACAAATTTTGGATGAATGAAAGTACGAGTATATTTGGCCAAGACAAGATCGCAGCCGTTGCTGGGGTACCCTCTGCTGTTTACTTTGCGAATTAGCAACTCTCCGCACGAGCCCAAGACCCAGAGCAGAAGTATATAAGCCAAGATGACATGGCAATTGCCATTAAGTACCAATCCAGCCATCAATCAGCTAACAATCCAGTCCAGTCCCTTCAACAGAAGTTCCAGTCACAACATGAAGTTCTTCCTCGCTTTGAGTCTTGCCCTGGTGGCCATCTCCTGCAGTCTGGCTTTGCCATTGGAGCTGGACAATGCCGAGCCCCTTTCTCTGCTGGATCTGGAGGCGGAACTGGAGCAGCCCCAGGTGGATGAGCTAGCGGGTGACCGAGTTGTAAGAGGACTAGGCGGCTTTGGTGGACTCGGTGGCAAGTTTGGCGGCCTGGGAGGACTCGGCGGTCTGAAGGGAGGCTTTGGTGGTCTCGGACACGGCTTTGGCGGTGGCTTTGGCGGCCATGGCTTCGGCGGCGGCTTCGGTAGCTTCAAAAGTCTCTTCAACAAGAAATTCCGCTAAGCAGTACAACAGCCAACTATAGTCTAAGAATTAACTAATAAATGTTGAGTTAAGTAAAAGTTAAAAGTTGCCCGTCTGATAGATGGGATTCAGGGCTCCATAAAACTGCAGTTCTGGCTCCGAGGTGGTGCTGGTTCCCATTCTGGTATTGACCGTGGGGGGATGAGCAGGATGAGGCTTTGGTTGGGCCTGAAAGCGACTGAAAGCCAAGCGAACCTGACTGGCAAAACTGCGCCAGAGCTGATAGGGTTTGGGAACTGAAAGGTAGAGTATTAAATATATATCTGTATATAATATATTATTCAATCCTTACCCATTCTCAAGGGTGGAGCCACCTGTGGATCAAACTCCCGCTCATCTAGAGCTGTGACCAGAGCCACAATGCCCCACAACAGCAGCAGGCGAAACATTTCTTTGGATCTCAGTCGCTCTTTCAGCCTTTTAAACATCTCCAAAAGCTTTCCCTCACCATAAACCATAAAATCTTATTAATTTCATATCATAAAACACGGTCTAAATGGACTTGCATAACATGTAAATAAATTTTATTGCACAAAAAGAAGTATCACAAAAAGGGCATTGATTCATCAACTCTACAATCTCGTTTAACCATAGAAGCCGCCGCCATAGTAACCTCCACGTCCACGATAGCGGGTGCGGGTGATGACACGGGTTCTGCCGAAGCCACCGCCACCATAGAAGCCGCCGCCGTAGTAAGGTGGTGGCGGTGGGCCAAAGAAGGGTGGGGGCGGCGGGCCAAAGGGTGGTGGCGCATAGAACTGACGCACTTTTCTCACATTCTCCTCTCCAGACTCATTTTGGGCTGTTTCTCCCGCCTCCAAAAGCTGAGGAGCATCGGCTTCAGCCTCAACTACCGCCTTAACTTCCGATTCCTGTTCCGAGGCTTCCACAAGATTGCACAAGAGCAGAGTCAGAGCCAAACTGAACAAGAAGAATAGCCGCTTGTAATCCATTTCTCCGTCGTATTCCAACTTAGACTTTGCCAAATACTGAAACTCTGCGCCCACCTGTGCTTAATTTATAGCCAAACATTTGCCAAGAACCATCATCGCCCCAAGTCAGAAACAAAGGAGGTTCATTGGCATCGCTTGATTGCCATTGAATGTCTCTTTTTTTTTATATATATATTTTTCGTCTAATTTCAATTTCCAAGCCCAGCCAAGCCGCCAAAAATAATTATTAGCGTGAAAAAAAACCCAAGAAAAAAGAGGCAAACACACAAAAATACATTAAGTTGACCCAATCTTAATGTTCGGATGAAATGAAATACGACGCGGAAGTGTGAGGCAACAGTGGGACAATATCTGGGCCGGCTGATGTAGAGGGTGTAATGGGATCGCGGGGCTATAGAGAGACTTAAGAGGTTTTTAGAAACTGAAAATATAGTAGTTTAATATTTTGATATATCGCATTTATATTTAAAATATCTAAATTATCGATAATACCTATCAAATATTTTAAAATCTTCTAAATTTTATATTTGTATCCAACAATGATATATTAAACTAGGCTTAGGCCTTCCTTTAAAACAAATTAAAATAAAATTATAATTGATATCGTTTTGATATATGGATAATTTCTGTTATCCTTTAAAAGGAGCCAGCACCCCTTCTGGTATTTGGATTTAGTTCCGTTCTCAATCACCCATTAATTATAGAAAAAATTGTTTAAATATATAAAAATAACTAGTAAAATCTTTAAATATAAGTTCTATAAAATTTTTATCAGTGTCCGCATTAATGTACACCTTGTTGGACATCCTAAATCATTATTTCAACATGGCACAGATCCCCAGCTAATCACCAAATGAATCAATGTCAAAGCCTTAACCTTGACGACAGAAGCCCAGGTGCTCTTTTTTCTTTGTTAAAAATTCCAAGATTTACGAATACCATAATGGATTACCCAGTATCTAGTGACAAGTATCCAATTGCACTGGCTGTTAGACAACTTGACCCACTGTAATGGCTCGATGGCCTGTTGTTTACTACTCAAAGAGCCTCATCCGCTTCGCCGCGCTCAAAAGTTCGGCAGGTATATATATAGCATGTCTGTATATATGCTATATATTATGACAAACACAAGCTCGAGCAAGACTCTTCCAGAAATATGTATGTATAACCAGTTGAAATCCAAATATGCAAGCTCATCGAATCTGTTGATTCCAAACACTCGGCAAAACGAAACTCGATCTCGTCGCCGCACTTTTGTTTATTTTGTTTACACTAGAGTCTTCGAGATACACAGATTCAGATACAGATTTTTTTTTAGCCCAGGAAGCCGCCTTTGAATTTGGCAAAACCCACAGCGCCGCCCACGAAGCCACCGCCGCTTCCGATTCCTCCAAGACCACCTAGTCCTCCCAGTCCACCAGCTGCGGGATAGCCATATCCTGGGTAGCCACCACCATAGCCATACCCATAGCTGGGAATTGTCTGGACGGTGGAAATGCTGGAAACCACTGGAACAGTGGTGATCACTGGAACTGTGGACACCACGGGAATGGGTGCTGCTATAATGGGAGCCGGGGCAGCAGCTACAGCTCCTCCTCCTCCGATGATGCCACCTCCAATGATTCCGCCTCCGCCAAAGCCTCCAATATGCCGGGGTTTGCGTATGCTGCTGCTCTCCTCCTGATCTCCGCTGGAGAGGATCGGGCTTGAGCTGACCACGGCGGACGCCACGACGAACAGGTAGACCGACTGCCACAACATGATGCTGAAAACTGTTTGGTCAGCCCCACTCCTAGCTGCTTATTTATGCACATTAATTAGTGGCCACTGTTTGCTCTAACAATTTACAAATATGGGGCGCCCGGGTAAAAAGCCCCATCTCTGTTGGCGATTCTATTTGGGGGTTTCTGGTGGTTTTGCCCACTGGCTAGTGGTTCACACCTCATCATCGTCATCATCGGTTGTTGGTCATTGGTCGCTGAAGGTCGCTGTTTAGGGCATTAAAAACCAGGTGACTTCGACTAGGGTAACTCAATTCGTTTTTGGCATTACAGCGAAGATGTGGTGCGATCTTCAGGTGCAATTTCTGCTGTTTCTCGGTCTCTCTCTTTGGAGTACTGGAGCTCATTCGCTGGGAGGAGGAGGAGGAGCAGTGGGAGCCATAGGAGGAGTGGGAGCCATTGGAGGAGTGGGCGCTATTGGAGGACTGGGTGGAGTTGGTGGAGTCCAGCAGGTGCCAGTTGTCCAGCAGGTACCAGTGGTACAGCAAATCCCAGTTGTCCAGCAAGTGCCCATCATCCAGCAGCAGCCTCAAGCTCTGGGACTTGCCGGTGGCGGAGGATTCATTGGCGGCGGCGTTGGAGCAGGAGCCGGCTTTGGACGCTACAAGGAGAGCTATCGGGTGAGGGCCAGAGGCCTGGGCGGTGGATTCCGTGCCCGTTACGACAAAAAGATTGGCGGTGGCTTTGCGGGATTCGGGGCTGCCGGTGGAGCGGGCTTAGGCGGTGGAGCTCTGCTAGGATAAATGCTAGAAAATTGTGTAGTTAAAATTTTAATATAAAAAAATAAATGTAATAAAAAATTATAATTTTTATATATTACAAAAATTTATAATATATTTAAAAGCATGACTTTGTGAAAAAATAACCCTCGACAGCTAAAACACCCTGTATTTCCTGCGCTCTGGATTTTTTGCTGACACGCGCAGTTTTCACCCCAAGCAAATAGCTCTCTCTCTCTCCCACTCTCTGTGGTGGTGCTTTGTCTTTGTCCCATTCATTTCCTTTTCCATCCCAACAAAATGGGTCGGCTCTCTTAAATTTGTCTTACTCTTAGTATTGCCTCTTTTAGCATAGAACTCTTTTCAATTAGCACTTCAAATGTGATATTTTACAAGTTTTTAATGAAAATTTCAGTAAAAATGTGAATTATTTTAAGATATTCAATCATAACTAAGCCAAAAAAGGATACATTTCCATTCGGAAAACATTTTTGTGCTAGTTTTTATTAAGTTATCAAATAAATATAATGAATTTAAAGTTTTAAAAATGTTTTTCATTTAAAATAATATAAAATAAAATAAATATTAAAATTCCTTATGACTTTTATATATTATTAGTTTCAATAGGTTTTTTGTGCTAGTTTTATTAGATTAACAAATTAACATAATGAATTTAAAATTTAAAAAAAAATTATAATAAAATAAATATTATAATTCCTTATATTTTCTATACACACATTATTAGTTTCAACAGGTTTCACCAACAAAATCACCGTTATGTTGCAAATGTTAACCATCAGTAACACATTATGTTCTGTTATGTGCTAATATTTTAAGGGAGATCTTAAGAGTGACAAGCAGCTCTCTTAGGTAAGAGAGAACGACTGCAACATCCACATTGAAGTCTGCTCGGCACCCAAATGAAATTCTCAAATCAAAAGTTTTTCATTTTCCGTCGTGTGCAGTCGCTTTTCCTGTTGTTGTCCGCCGTTCTGGGATTCCCGCTGGCGCGTGCTCCACTGATTAGCAGCTCCTTTTTGGCGGACATGTGGAAGAGTCCTTAAAGGACACGGAAGCAAACTAATAACGGTTAAACGCTCAACGGCGCCCCGTCTGGCTGCCCTAAAAATAGCAAACAAAATCAAATCAGGCAAAAATAAGCGAAAATAGCGAAAAATAACGAAAATAGCCAACAGACATGCCGTGTTTTTGTGCCCGTGTGTGAGTGAGTGAAGTGGAAATCCGTTTATAAATAAAACAACGCTGGGCCCAAGAAGAGTGAAATTATTATTATTGTATTGGCCAACTGCCCAGAGGAAAAACTCCAGGTGATAACCTCCTTTTGAATGTCTTCTTCCTCTTTTTCGGGGCCAGATTTTTTTTTTGTTGTTAATCAAATTCTCAGGGGAAAACTTCCAACTGACGTTCTTACTCTCGCTCGCTGGGCTGCTCTCCCTCGGCCAGCCTGCTCTCTCCTCTCTCTTAGCTTTCCCTTGCTTTCTCTTTACCACCCTCTTGTTTCGATGTGACCAGGTCTCTGATTGAAAGTACGCAGAGTGCAATTACTTTAAGTTTTCAATTACCCCCTAGAAAGTGGGGTGATTTGGGGGTGTAGGAGACATGGTACCTGCCTTATCTACTAGCCACAGTGGCTGCCTTAAATCCCCATCCACCAAACCGCCCCGGGCAACGTCATTATTTTGCTTTTCGCCAGACCTCTTGGCATGTCTCGGTTTTCCAAAGCACAATTAGTCTAATTGCGGCCAGGCTTTCGGTCTTACACGACTTCTTGGCTTTTACTTGTCAGTTTGTTGATTGGCAGCAGTAACAGTTGCAAATGCAACAAAGGCAATGCCATAAAATAGCCCTGAAAATACAGTAGAAACCTTTTACTGAATCAAGTAAATTTCAAGAATAATAAAGATACATTTCTATAGTGTCGGGTATACGGTTCTGTCGGTTTGAAATCCTTTGGTAAGCTGTCTAAAAGTATGCAATGCCAAATTAAGTCAAAAATTAGTTTGGATAAAGTTTCTATTATTATTTATTATGATCATATAACCAATATTTTTCATTGTTTATTTTTAATTGGTTTTATTAGGCTGTCAGGAATACCAAAGAAAAATAATTTAAGTTCACATTTAGAATATTTTTGTATACTTATTCAGCAAATCATAAAACCATTGTTATTTTTATGACTTTCCCTTAAAAATTGTAAATTGAAACCTCCGAAAAAGCATTAAAATGTAGAGAGTTTTATAAGTACTTCCCTTAAAAACAACATTTTTTTATAAACAACACATACTCACTTCATTTTGGTGGTGGCTCGAATGAAGCCTGTTCTTCTCTGGTTGCACTTGCTCCATCACCCCCTTGGCATACCCTTGAAATTTGCTTGCAACCCTCGGATCCCACGCACTGACGTAGCTGCAACTCGCCCTGGAAACAGTTTTTTGTTGGGCGGCTGTGTGTACCCACGAGTATGTAGTTCAAGGTCATTAGCCAAGATTCGGCCGGGGGCTACTCTGCGTGTGTTTCCATTAACAGATGCAAAGCCTGAAGACCCCAAGCTGGCAAGTTGAAGGACATGCGAGGCATACCCCCCACTTGAGACGCTATTCTCGGACTCCAAAGCGTCCGCTCAGGTGACACTAATCATCGCCCACTAGCACCGCCCCCAAAGCTGACACTAATGAGCGCCGGTCATGCAACGTGTGCTAGTGACCCCTCGGAATCTGGCACCTGGCCCAGAACAAGGGAATCACCTCCCACTAGCAACAGGAAGCGCAGTCACTGAACAGTTAATGGACTGCAGATTGCAATAGCGGGCGCCAACATTCCGGGCCACTGGAGAGCGGATGGAGCCCATAAATTCAGCCGCCTCCTCTAATCAACTTACCCCCTGGCTGGAAGCCAACATCTAACAACAGCGGGCAACCTACTTGGCCCCGGCCTAATGTCAGCTAATTGCATTGGCGCTCCTCCGGCGGCGGCGGCGGGAGCTCTTTAGACCTAACGTCGTCGTTGTCGTCGTCAGTGGGCCACGGCACCCGCGACTCCGGCGGAATAAGTTCAATGAGGCGCATACCGTTGTTATGGTTACAGGGAAACAAACAGTGGAGACTCGTAGTTGATCTTTTCGATCTTAAGATTAAGAAGATGGGGAAATATTTAAAAAATTAAATTGGAAAGATTTACTAAGATGAAGGGGTTGTATTTACTTTAAGGTATTAAGGATCGAATTGAACTTTATTTTATTTAGTTTTTCTAACTTTATACAAGTAAGTTTTAAGTTTTAGAAACCCTTGTAATTTCTGTAGCAGCCTTGAAAAACAGTTCAAATTACAAAACAGTTCAAATTACAATATAAAACCAATTTAACCAAGGACAAAATTAACATTAAGACTTTAATAACACTAAACAATTTATTCCCCTTTTTCAATAAATATCTAACAATATTTTTATGGCATTTCCCCAAACTATGATGACACTACTGTTTATTTGCCAAAAATGTTAATTCGAGTTAATGAAGTGGCACTGTTTTGGTAATTTTCCTCGCTCCTCGCTTAGCCCTGACAATGTGTTGCGGGTGTCCTTTGTGGCGAGTGACGCAAAAAGAAGTCGCTGCGGGGGCGGGGATGGATTTATGGTTTTATTTTTTTTTTTTTTCGGGGCGATGGTAGCCTTGGGCCGTTGGAATTATCATTCGGCAGTTGGCATTCGGCCTGCCTTTGGCCCTGCTTCCCCCCTGTTGACATGTTTATGCGCAAATTTACCAAGTCGCTCTCCTCCGCCATCGGTTCCGGCTGTTTTGTTAAAGTCCCATATCGATTTTTGTTAACTCGATTATAGGAACTCATAGCGGTAAAGGATAAGGCACAAAGGATAACCAAGGACAGTGACTCGTCGACGGTGGTTGTGTGACATGCTAGCAGCAGTTATGGCATCGGACATCAACTGGGATCCAGGTAAGTGACGCATAGCACAACCGTCCAAGATTATGATGGATTAACCTGGTTTGTGTAGCTCTTTCGAAACTGATCACCACGCTAAAGGAGTCGGACAACCTGTCCAATGACCAGGAGATTGACTTTCTGAAGGCCCTGCTGGAGTCCAAGGAGCTGAATGCCTTGGTCAATGTCCACACCAAGGTGGCCAAGGTGGGGCGGGACGACAGGCTGGCTCCCGTACTATCCACCTCCGCCCAGGTTCTATACGAGGTGCTGGAGCAGTTGTCGCAACGTTGCCACCTGAATGAGGACTGCAAGGAGGCCTTCCATCTGCTGCAGGACTCACATATCCAGGTGGGAATTAGAGGGGAAATTTAGCAAGATTTCATTTAATGATTAATATTTATTTTTCAGCACTTGCTGTTTGCTCACGATGCCATTGCCCAGAAGGACTTTTACCCGCATCTGCCGGAGGCTCCCGTTGAAATGGACGAGGACGAGGAGACCATCAAGATTGTGCAGCTGGTGAAGAGCAATGAGCCTCTGGTGAGTGTCCACTTGGCTGGGTATTAATAGCCTCCTCCATGCCATTCTCCATGCCCATCTCTCATTGCCGTGATCGCTGTTCTGTGCTGTCTATCGCTTTTCACTTTTCACTTTTCACTCTCGACTCTCATTTCCGTTTTCCCCCCCTGACTTTCATCTGTCAACTGCTCCTCTCTGCGCCTCCATTCATTCTTGTTCTACTTCCGTAATCGCCATCAACTCTTCCCAATGCTAATCAATTTTGTAAATTTTGCTTTTGTCGAAAATCGAATAAAATCGAAATCAATTTCTCAAATTCGCCCATAACAAAACATAAATTGAAAACGCAAAAATATATATAAAAATATGTAAAAAATAACACAGACAGGAGCACAGAGTGCGGAGCCAATTGTTGTAAGTAACCAAATGTCCATAGTTCCACCATCAAAATATACAGAAACCCCAACAACACAAGCACAGCAAGGATATGCTGTGTTCAAGCACACACATTGAGATACATTTTGAGATACATTTTGTTTGTCCCCATTT